ACAAAAAGATTCCTGTAATCCAGAGAGCAAAATTTATTTGGCCCATAACTAAGCCACAGGCATGGGTTTTTTCTGGCCCACTAAACAGCTGGTTCCACAGGCCAAGTCCTTTCCATACATGGCAAAGCTGTCATGTCACACAGTAGTGGGCATGACAGGGCCTATTGAGTTTGTTCCAGTGGAACATGGTTGTGATCCATTTCTGGTCCATATATTGTCTCTTGTAAGTCAAAATAATTTGGTCCATTTGTACATACTGAGATCAAATTGAATAATGTAATGCTGGCCCAGCTTTGGCCTTTGTACTGCAAGAAACGTTTTCTTGTTGCCATGGAGATCCCTTAGTCCCTGGCCTCTGAACTTAATATGACTTACCTGTGGTTGTTTGATGGGGAAAAATGGCAATTTTGTACCTTGTCTGCAATAAAAGAGTCCCTGACTGCATGCAAACAATCGCTGTGGGGAAAAGTATCAGACCCTTTACTCATGGACCCTTAACTTTAGCTAAAAAGTCTTTAAACAAGCACAGAAATAATAATAATAACTTGCTGTAATTACTTTTTTGTGAACAAGCATATATCGAGCACTGTAAAGTAACAAATATCGAAAGAAAGAGGCCTTTTACTCATTGGAACATAACATTTCAAACTCCAACTCTCAGCAAATCATCATGAGGAAAATATGCAACTGAGGAATGTCTTGTGTCATATTCGCTTGAAATCTAAAATGACGCCCAACTATATTATCAGAAATCAGTCCTGGCTCCTTGTTTTCTTCCCCTGTCTCTGTTGGCTGCTGCCTGCTACCATCTCTTCATGTAAATCTCAGTTTCACATTGAGAGACCTTTGATGTGAAAGGTTTCTGTCTAATAGTAGCTGATGGGGACAATAGTTTTAAAACTTGTACAAGAAGACCAAGACGTACAAAAGTTCAGACAGGAAATAATCATGCAGCAAAGCTTTATGATTATGAGTGCTGAATTTAAAAAGCAGAACTGCCTTTTATCCTGAAAAGTGTTAGTGATTCCTAAGGCGCCGAAGTTGAAATCTAAAGTTCATGTTTGTGTCTCAAATAACAAAATAGACCAAACTGCTTAGTCACAGCACCACCAGACCGATTTAGATTCCGGCGTGAACCTCATCCCCTCTATGTGCTGCCTCACTGTAAACGATTCAGCCGTGCAGTATTCAGCACTGGAGCTAATCCTTCTGAAGATGAAATTCTTCTGAATGTATCTCTCAGTTGGCCACTGTACAATGCCAACAAGGATCAAACAGACCGCCTTGTTCTCCAGTAATAAGTCATTGAGGGGATATGCTAGCGTGTGTGTGATCACATTAATTGCCCCGCTGCTGCAATAAAAGTATTTCGCTCTATTATCTCTACATGCCAGAAAGCTGAGCAGTCAACAAATCTAACAGACGTTCCCCTCAGTCTGCTTGGAGACGCCTCTCTATCAGTGCTCTGCAGCCACAGGGCAGCACCAGCATAATAACCATCTTATCCCCTGACAACCCGGGCTTAGCCGGCGTAGACAGGCTCTCCATCATCACTGAGACACAGCACTTGAGAATATTCAAACATACAGGGCAATTAAGATGGATCAAAAGCTGTACAAATAGTATTGATCCAGAACAAGCATTCAAGAGTACAGCTGCATTTGTAATAAGAAAGCAGGGAGCGTTTCATTCCTGAAGAGACCTGTGGAGTATAATAAATCTGAACATTTACAGTGTTTGCATCCGAATTACCATGTGATACAGGCTAGTGTTGTTTCCAGAATGGGTTTGTTTGTAGAAATAATATTGTCGCAACATTTTACGCACGAGTATACAAACTGTCATTAATGAAATCCAATCTGTCAGCTGTTTTTAACTTTCTCAAATAATTGTCTCGTCAAACCAGAGACAGTGCCTAATTTTTGTCATACAAGATCAGTTATGAGAGAAAAAATGCAGAGCTAATATTCAAGGAGCAAAACGGTCCAATGTTCGCAGAAATAGAATGCTGTCTATAAATTAAAATTTTAAAGCATCTATAAGGAACTTTGTTGGATAAACTTTGGTTCCCCTGTGGATGATATTGAATCTCATCATATGTCTTTGCTTATCCTGTCCTTGGGCCACATTTATAAACGTAGTATAAGCACAAAACGGGCCCCAAAGAGACGTTCTCCTCTTTTGATTCAGAGTTTGTGATATATAAAGCCAGACTTGGTCAGACAATGTGCATGCAGGTCAGCAAACTCTGACCCATGTGTGTGCACAGTTAGGAGGCAAAGGAAAAATATTAATATTAATATTCGTATTAAACGCAATATAACAGACCTACATTATTATGATTGCTAAGTCAGCAGGTTTTATCGCAGGTTTGACTTGGTGAGCCTTTCTCAGGATGTAATGAAGAGACAAAACTTTAATTATTAATGTCTATCTTGTATTTAATCAGCTTTGTCTCACCTTCAAAAGTGGAAATGGGAAAATCTGACTGTGTCTTAACTTCACTGTAGTGTGTAACAATCCAAAGTGACGTTAGCAGATAATTAACAGGCCACATCTCCTCTGACACTGTGCAATGTAACTCTTAGTATGGATTATGTGTAATTTTTTTTTCTATATGATGCCCATGGACATGTCATAGAACTGTTTTCCGTCTGAAGCCTGCTCTTTCTCTGTCTTTTCTTTTTTTAACCAATCTAAAAATTTTCATTTTTTTGTAAACCCAGCTGGTTAAAACATAAAATCCATTTTCCCAAACTACTGTGAGTTAACAAGCTGCCATATCTGCAGTGCCATCCACTCCAATATGTGGGTTTTAGGTCATGCTGCTCTAAAAAAAGTGATTGATTTATACTTGTACCTTTAATTTGTACTTTGATGGTGTGGTGTCTGCCCACCACTGTTGCTTCACTTCCAGTAGTGGGCAGGATGGAGACAGCACCAGCTGGGCAGAGCTATCAAATCAGATAACCTACTCAGCAAGTTCACCCAAACCTGGAGGGAGTCCAGCTGAGGGCAATCAGCTATGAGAGACCGTGAGAGGGGGGAGAGAAAGCAGAGGGAACTGAAGCAGAGTACAGTGGGAGAGACACTAGAAACTGTTTAAACCTGCTGACCTTTGTGGCCCTCCTCCAGGAAGACCACTTTGTTGTGTACTTGTACTTTTGTGAGTTACTTTTGAAATCAATGCATCACTTTTTCTGTAGTATTTTTGAGACTGTTGTACTTTGCTAAATTTAAGCAGCATCAGTTACTGGGAATATAATACTAAAACCATTTAATATTTTCCATCATCTGCCCGACTGTCATAGATTACCCCACATGGCAAAAAAATCTCAAGTTTTATTGAATAAAATTGCCTCAGTTCCAGTCAGTTTTTTAAAAGTGATTTTCTTTCAATAATGAAGTTAAAGTAAAAACAAAATCTTAGAATAAAGTCATTGTAAACTGTTACATGTTGTCAAAGCTACATGTAATCTTGGACAGCATCCACCACCTGCTCCATAATGTGCTGATAAACACAGGAGCATATATAGTGCCAGACTCATTTCACCAAAATGCACCTCAGAGTATCACAGGAAGTCATTCATGCCTGTGGCCATGAAACTTTATTATTCCCCCATATGAGTGTCACACACTCTGGATGTCCCTAGACTTATTCTCATGGAGTAGCTGTCGCTGTGCAGTATCTTGTTTTAATTGTGCAATATTTTATTAAACTGGACAAGTGCTCTGTGCAATACCCTGAGGAGCAATGCTGCAAACTGGTTTTGTATGCACTCACTCTTTCTACTTTTACATTGTTTGTTTCTGAAACACTGCGCACTTTGTAAACAGCTTCATTTCAAATATTCTGCACTTTTAACTGACTGTTGCAATTTCATATTTATTCTTATTACATTCCTATTTCTATTCTCCTTCTTTTAATATTTGTGTTTTCAAGTGCAAGTGTAAGGCTATAATGACCAAACTCCCCCCAGAATAAACAAGTATTCTCATTCTGATTCTCTTCCATGGCCCTAAGTTGTAGACTTACTGAAACAAATGTCCCCTTCTATTTGGAGACACTTTGCCCGGCTCATTGTGAACATTTCTGCATATGATGGTAATAGTGGTAGTGATAATGATGACATAGTTGACAGTGCTGATGAATGATGATGGATGCATAGATAGATGGATAGTAAGATGGATAGACAGATGGATGGATAGATGGATAGATGGATAAATAGATGGATAAATAGATGGATGGATGGATGGATGGATGGTTCAATTTTGTAGAAGTATGACAGAAGTGTAAGTATCAAGACTATGGATAGGTTGTGTTAAAAGCTAAGACATAGTATTCCCCTCCAAAACAGGGTTATGTAATATTGTGACTTTATTCTCATAACACAAAGACATAGCCTCATTATCGTAATAGAATAATTAACTTTGACTCCTCGTAAGAAAATTATTCTTCTGTGATTATGTTCTTATGAGTAATTGATCTTCAACAACTTCAGTCTTGTAAGAAAATTATACTACAACTTTGTTCTTGTGAGAGATGTTATTTTTATGAGAGTATGATTTTACTATGACTTTATTTTGGTATGAAAATGCCTATTAATAAAAAGAAGTGCTGTTTTAATACTCTGTAGTACTGTACATTCAGCCATCCAGTTGGGGGGGCTAACCCCCACTCCCACCCCTAATACTCACTGTCACTCAATAAAACTACTCACTGTACTACCAGTATTTATACTTTTTCTCTTACTAGATCTACATCCGTGTACTTTCACTTCAACCTGAGTAAAATCTCAAAACAACAACTGTACATTTTAATGAAGAGAATATTTTAGTAAACACTTTTCACTCCTGGTAATAATGAGATTGACAGCATATATCAAAACAACCCATTGGACGCCAGCCCACAGGAGAGGACGAGATAATACGGAGTAAGTGATGAATAATGAGTCATATTGTGGACGGAGGCGTGGAGCCAACTGTGGCATGCAGGCAGCAGCACTCTGCTGGTCTCTCTGCCAATACAAGCTCCTCCACGGGGAGGAGGAGGAGGCGGAGGAGGAGGAGGAAGAAGAAGAGAACTACAGCTCGTGATCGCCTTCAGAGTGTTGCCTGTTTCTGTAGGGAGATAGTAGTCATGACAGCCTCACACACCGGCCGGTATCTCCTACAGCAACTACGTCCTGATTCTGCTCGATTCAGGCGCGTCGCTATGCTTCCAGTTCCCCTCTTTGTGGAGCCTGGTGTCCCGCAGTGACCATCGATTTGCTCCCGGACTGCAGCAAGTCTGTGCTCGGTGAACCCAGACAGCTCGGGCATGCCACTGGTCTCGACAGAAAACAACATCTGGAGCAGAATTCGCCTCATTACCTGAAGAGTGAAAGTTGGTGCAATGGAGACTCCGGGGAGTGAAGCTGCGGTCACCGTGCTGGGGAGAGCTGAGGAGGGAGACGGCTTATATGATCTGGAGCATCTGCCCCCACTGCTGGAGGATGAGGTGAGACATGAAATCATCGTTTCATCGGCATGTACTTACTCTTCAGGGGCAGTGATTTAACATCATTGGGAACCATGTTTGACCGCGTTAATATGTCCAGTGTCCTTACATGTCCTCTCTCACTGACTTCGGGTTAGGTCCCATTTTTTTCATCGACAGAGCTTTCACAAATACCAGTCATTGCCCACTTCTTCAAAATGCATTAGTGATTAATATGTAGGCTTGGATTATAGCTGTGATTGATTTACATAGAGCTGCACATGTAAACATATCAAACATACATTTGTTTTATTAACAGTTGTTAAAAAAGTTGGAAACTTTAGTATTACATTTTTAAAGAAGCTTGGTACAAATATGGCCACAGTGATGCCAGTAATTATTATTTTAATCAATCAATACTGAACTCTCATTTTCCAAACAACAAGGACATTTTTCATCATTTTTTGAAATGATAAATACATTTCCTTGATCTCACTTTTCTGCAGGGTTGGATTTGGGCACAAAATCTGACCCTCCATTTTTGGCCTATATAAATCTCAAACATGTGGTCCAATAGCATGAAAGAGCATTTACATTATAAGAACTCTGACTTTATCTAAATGACAGTACCGGGCAAAAGTACTTTAACTTGAAGTAGAGTATTTCCTCAGTGTGTCACAGCACAGCTAAAGATGCAGCCTAATATACAGGTTTTTGGACCTCATCTTTAAAAAAAGAAGACTTACAACTTTATATTTATATTTTCACAACTTTTTGCATGGGTTTATTTTCTATGTATATGTTCATGTAAATATTCACTTGTTAAGGGTATATTTCGGGCCAAACACAGTGTAACACCGAGTTAGACAACCAATTGAGGGATCAATGTTGTCGACCGCTTGCTTGTCTAATTATACCAACTTTAGTAACAACCGCAGGAAATGCAATCAGATTGAGATGCTAAGGCAGAAGAGCTACCGTGTCTGCAGTGCAAATTGATTGATATGTGGATTATTACTTCAAGGAAATGACAACGTAATGATCATAAATGTTCTTCCTTGGGCTGCGTCACCCCACTGTAGTCGATGAACTCCCCAGGAGGTCTCTGTACAAACAAGCTGCTGCTGGAAGAAAGTGGGTGAGTTGTGTTTAGTCTCTTTGCTAAAGAAATTAGGCAAAGCTAAAAAGATGTTTGATGGCTAGTGCTATGGCTGGGAGCCTATCTGTACTGTTGATGAAGTTAGGCGCTGTTCTGAGCATTATTTGTGGCTATAGAGTGGCTTTTTGGTTGAGCGCATGGCTCTCTGTATTAGTATGGTGCGGTCATTACTAAAGTTGGTATAACTAGACAAGCAAGTGGTCGGCAACAATTATCTCTCAATGGGTTGTCTAACTTGGTGTTACGGTGTGTTTGACCCTAACTTAATTTTACGCTGGAATATCCCTTTAATGCTCATCAACACTGCACATTTGTTCTCCATGCTCACTCAGTCCTTCTGCTTTACTAACACACGCCGGACACTGCTCTCACAGATGTTCCTTTTCATTAAGATAGGTTTCTGTATTAACAACAAGTTTTGTCAACACACAGATCAACTCCTGTCAAAATGGAACCTTGAGTGAAACTTTTCGAACCTCCAGTTGTGTTGAATGGATGACTTTGTACAATTATCTCTCTATGGATATTATCGACAGAGCTGAAACATGCAGGTAGAGAGAACAGGAACACACATTTTAGATCTCTGTAATCACTGTCAGACATTTATGAGTAACAGTGGAGAGGTCAAACTGCAATCAAGACTAAAATTTAATTCGTTGTGCAGTCGTATTTTAAAGTATATTTTCAACATTGAAAGACATAGATTTTACACGACTGTTACCGAAATATCTTCTTCGCTATGACAGTCTAACTTGAACTTAAACCAATGAAGTATTGTCTTGAGAATAAATCTATCAAGTATTTGATCATCAGAAGTCAGCAGAAGACACCACTAAAATAAGTAGATGACAAAATAACAAAAGAGTGCTTTGTCCACAGGGGGCACCAAAATAGACACCAACCAAAAGTTCCTTACAGGAGTTTTAAGTTAATCACCTTAACTTTAAGGATGAGTCATAGTGTGTAACGTTACCTAATTTGTGTCCAAATTGCCCTTTTCATTGCATTTGATCAGTTGTTTTAAGTCTATAGTTACCTTAGGAAAGAAAAAGTCATTTTCATAATCTGTTTAAGGAGTAGATACACCTTCAGGAGTGAAAAAAGTTTGTGCAAAGAGCCCAAAACTCACATTTTATTGCTTAGGCCAGAAATGAGTTAAACCAATGGTTGCATAATTAGTCTAATTATATGTAAATCGATGACAAAGTGGACTACTTTGTGGATGATTAATTGACTTTGTGATTATTTTCATAATGAGTTTATGGTCTTAATTGCTAGTTTCAAGTCCTCTTTAATCTTCTTTTGGAAATCCATCATCTGCACTAAAAGACACTGTGGAGGTCAAGCAGTTATTTTGTTGTTTTTACATAAATATCTTGGTTCATCCATTTCCCATCCAAATGTGGTCGCTCCGTGACCCAAAATACAAAGATAGCAGCATTCTGGTTTTAGAAAATGTCCATTAAAACATTTATCCATTTATGAGTGATTCATTCTTCCACTGTGTCTCCAACAACATTCTCATGACAAACTTGGAGCTCAAACTTATGTAGGACAGCAGATTTAACTGGAGGGGGTCGAGAGAGACTCGCAGCTTCCCTCTGCACTGTTCTCAGGGGAAACTCTCTATTTATGGGGACGCTGCTGCTGCTACTGCTACTGCTCTGCTCCTGTTTGAAGTGGCACTTCCTTGCCCTGTAATTGTGCTCTGCTCCTTTACTTCCCAGAAATATGCTTTGTTCACAGTCTTCCGCAAGTCTCCTGCACCTCAGAGAGAGTCATCATGCGAGACAGATAGACCCTTCTGCTGCTGTCTTCCAGAGATAATGCAGTGATTGAAAAGTTTTCATTCATTTAAACTTATATAAGACTAAAAATATGCTTCCAATGAGACCGAGAGGCACCCTGCTGTGGTGTAATTAATGCAGAGGAAGGAAAAAGTTGATGGTAATGGATGTAGTGGACAGTTGCTGCTTTGTTAAATCCCTTCCTGCCTTCTATCTCCTCTCTCTCTCTCTGTGAAGGACAGCTTTTGTGTTCACATGCGAAGCGAACTGAAGATCCTGCAACAATCTGACCACAGCTTTATGCTGCATGGAAACTGTGAGATCACAACTTGGAGAAATGGGCCATGTGGTTAGAGTGGATCACAGATGATGTATGTTCATGTGGGTGTAAAAGAGCCGCATGGCATAAAAAGTCTGCGTGTGTACAGGATGCCTTTTTTTTATGTGCCAAACGCCCTTGCTGTTGAAAAAATAAGGGGATTTTCTGCTGCTGTACTTAAAAATTAGGACAATGTTCAAGGTGTTATGTAATCGCATACATTCCTAATTAATGTCACAGTTTCTTCACAGGAACATAACACTTTTACATAACAGAAAACTTCGCTGTCAATGCAGCAAGTGAGGAACTTAATTCCTCCATGTTCAGATTGCTGCTCAGGCTCTTTTCTCTCAGTTTATTGATTGAGTTTTTTTTTTTTTATTAAATGAAAAATGAGATTCAGACTGTCTAGTGCAAAGATGCCAGTTTGTGCTCACTAAAGTTCAGGTGGAACACAGTAAAATCAGGTGTGGACATCAGAGACTTCTTTTTAAATAGTTCTCAGTTGGCTAAAATATGACAATGACAATGTCAGTATGTCTGAAAACACACCCGTAATGTCTAGTTTTGATAAATTGTTTGTCAGGGATGTGCTAGTTGAGCTGACTTTTGGATTGAGTATTGTCTCCCTGGCTAGTGGGCACCAGGATTACCAGTCATTTCTCAGTATTTTTGTCACTGTAGGTCCGAAGTGCCAATATTTTGTGCCATAAAAGCATCTTTCTGCCGCCAAGAGCGGTTTAAGCTCCAATAAACGGCTTCTATCAGAATGCAATAAAGAACTCTGCTCTTGGGTTGTTAACATGCATAGATAACAGATAGCATCCCATCCTGTAGCGTGACACAAATATGGCAGTATTTTTTGTATTCAAACATGAATGTGTCTGATTAAACTGGTTTATAATAACTTGGCACAGGCATGAGGATGTTAAGGAGGACCAAAGGCTGGTGGTTCTTGCTCTGCTATGGTTAGCTGCACTTGGGAAACTCTATCTCAACGGTTGCGTGACCTTCAGTAGCTGGTTGACAGTGCTTTTAGCTTTTGGGATCGCTTTACATAATAAAAAAGCACAAGTGCCTGTCATTTGTAAAAGTAATGTGGCACTTTGAGATTCAATAGTACCCACCTCTTGACTATGTAAAGATGATACTTTAATGTATTTTTACTTTTCATACAGAACCATAAGTCTGTGATTTTAGGGCCGTGATGCTCACAAAAATCCTCTGAGACACCAGGAAAAAGAGCAGTTTTTGAACACCCCCACTGAAGAAAAGACTGCACATATGCTGGCACTTCAGCTGTGCAGCTCTGATAACAAAGGTTGAATTACCCCGGATGCTCATACAGTTGACTGATACCTGACAGACAGCAGCCTTACGCCTATATGCAGCCTCTTTACTGAGTCCTGGTATCCTCCTATTTTTTTATTCATTATTAATGTAAAAACAACCCAGAGGGTGATCAGTCGATAAAATACACTGACTACATATAGAGACAATCTGGTACCTGTGGCTAGGTTTGGACTGGTAATCTGGCACTCCCTGCATAAGGCAGATGGACTGATCTACTTAGTGAGGGGTCAGGCTGTGATGGCACACTTGATTTTCAGCATACAGGGTTACAGCGTTGCACCGTGTCTGTAGAGTTATCATTGAGTATCAACAGTCATTAGCTCAGTTTGAATTTATCTATTTAGTCTTTAAGTTTTTGAGGTTGTGACTGTTATTATAAAGTGAAAAAAATAGAGGATCTTATAGTGATTCATTGCGCCGTAAAATGCACAGTTGCAGTCATGACTAAGTGAGAAATGGGTGATTTGTGAAGTGCTTCTCTCCTGCTGCAGGGCAGATTTAGTCATACTGATCCCCTCTGACCCCTACAAATGGATATGTCTGAGGTCAAGTAGGAAATCATCTGATGAAACACTTCAAAAAGAGTTCAATAGAAATACAAATCAAATGTATGAATGAAGAGTTGAAAAGTTTTCAGCTGCAGCAGCAGAGACAGCATGAACTCTGACAGTCTATCTGCACCATCAGGAGGGAAAAAGGAAAAATTGATTTAAATCCTAATGGATGAGCAGGAGGTGTGTAAAAACTTGCCAAGGCTAAATTTTGTTCACACTTAGAGACTGTGTGTGCTTGTTACATACTGTGCCTGTGAAAGCTTTGTCCAGCTTATTCTTTTGAACCAAGTGGACTCACTGGGTGCTGTACCTGCTAGTCTCTGCACTGATCAAGCTGCTTAAACTCTGTCTGTGCACTAATCAAATTGCACTGAATAGTATTTGAGTCACTGAGTGGCATAAAGGTAGATTTTTTTCCCCCAAAACATCCCTTAAAAGAGCTGCTCCTGCTCCATATGTCAGTGTGTTTGGAGAAGCAACTATTAAAGTCCTTTGGTCCAAAATCTTCAAAATAACACTAACGTTTACATTTACTTTTGAATACCGCCTGTCATTGACCCTTTGAGTTGGGCAAAAGTGGAGGAAAAGACTTACTGCCACCACTTGTTGGCCTTTCAGGTGCCTGAATAATAGAGGAAGTAACAGGAATGCCTCATAATTGAGGAGGCATAAAGACTAATGTTGGTTCTCTCCACTATGCTAACTATTTAGCACATGGACTCACGTTAGCTTCGATAGCAAAACAAATGGGAGGAAACTGTTAATCTGTCGTCCTCCTGTGTATGATTGCCATAGTAAACAACCACAAATATAAAGACATCTGTGGTCTTAGTGGTCCTCAGCTTGTCTTTGCCAAGACAGACTTGTTTTTCCATCTGGTGTCAGTGTCTGGCTATTCTACCTTTTGGCAGTCATGCCTGATCATCCATCTCTTAGGGTGAGCCAGTCCCATCCTTACATTTGTAGCAGTCTTTCTTGATCCAGCTCTCTAAGTAAATTCAAATATTCAGAGAAATCTCCTGTCACAGTTGAAACAAGCTCAAAATAACTTGTGTGTTAAAGCTGCAGAGTGTTTCTGCATTTGTTTCCCTCTTATTTGCCTCCAGCTAACCTCTGCACGCCAAAAAACATCATACAGATTACTAACACGAAACGTCTATATTTGGGATTCTGGTTTCTTGGAAGGCTAAAAAAATCCAAGTTAAAAAAAAAAAAGCATTCAAAATTTTTTAATTATTTATAACTATGCTAAAGCTTGTAACAACATCCTGATTTAAGTGGGTAACATCATACTGTCTCTTAGCAAACAGATGCAGAGCGGTGCTGAGAGAAAGATAAAAATATATTCCAGTTCATTTGGATGAAGTTTATTTCTCTGGCCTGTCTAATAGCTGTTTGTCTGTGTGAGTTTGAGAGCTCTGAACATAACCAGTCTTTACTGATGGAAATCACAAAGTGACTGCTCCATGAGGTTGACTGATGTGGCAAAAAGTCTCTATATTAAAGGCAGCAAATGCAGTTTTTTCAGCTGTAGCACTATTTAGCATTTTTTTTGTATTAATTAATCTTTTTTCGCCCAATCGAAGCAGATTGTGGGTCTGCAGCTCAACTTACCGACTGCCAAGCTCTAAAGCCACATGACCATATGTCCAGTCCATCTGCGTAGGTGAACAGCCCCAGTGAAATCTGTGTGGAAGAATTTGATTAACGGGGTTGACCTTTTTAAACATTTTTTGTCGTTATCATTTTCCTGTGCTCATCTGGTGCTGAGTCATACTGCCAGCAGGTTGAGCAAATTAACCAAGACATTCCTACTTCTAGCAATATTTCCCAGTTCACCTGAGGGGCAAAGTACCCCCGGGCCAAATGAGGGACTTGGACCCTTTGCTGCCACCATAGCGTTTCAGTGAGGATGCTCTCAGGGTGAACCGGTCCAAGTGTTAAGACTACAAGCAACAGGAGTCACAGCATCTTGCTCTGAAACAGGAAACTCTGAAACATGGTCCCTAAAAATACTTGTAGCTATAACCACTCAGCCTTCAGTGCAGCTGACTTAATGCATATGGCAGGTAAAAGCAGGACAGAAAAGTTTCGGCTCTCTTCAAATGCTGACCTTTTTGACAGACATGAGCTAAACCAATAAGCAAAGTTCTTTAAAGCTTGTGAAGTTGTACCTGAGATTTTGACCCCTTTGATAATCCTCTTCTACATGCACCTTTGCAGAAGGTGACTCTTGTCTCCATCTGAAGAAAAATGCTGCCACCGGTGTTTGTCTGACAGTCTTTGCATTCAAGGGTCCAGTTCTGAGGTATGACTTGCCAGAGGAGATCAAGACTGAAGCTGCTGTTCCTTCCTTTAAATCACTTCAAGCTCCTGTGCCGAGATTTTTTGGCTTGTTATGAAACAGGCTGAAATCAATACTGATCTCTAGGGCTGTAGTCAACCAAAGAAATTCTTGGTCGACTAAAACCCTGAAATTTTTGGCAAACCACCGGACGTTGATTAAGGTGGACGCTCTTCAATCTTCCTGTCTCCAGCCAGTCTCCAGTGGGTTGGGCGAATCCAAAATGGTAAAAACAAGGGTGGTGTTCTGAGACAGGCTGTTCTCTATGAAACAGGGTGCTTTAAAAACACCCCCACTAGCACTTAGCATGTACCTCCTTATGAAATTAACCAAAGACTATAAACTGACACGGAAAACAATCAAGTCGACCAATCAGAATTTTGGTCGCCTTAGCATGTATCGACCAATAAGTAGACTAGCCCTACTGATCTCTTGTTATGACCCACAAGAGCAAACAAGATCATGAGCGTACAGTTTTTTTTTTTTTTTTTTTTTTACCTCTATGTGGTTACTTGTAACTTCTGAAACCACCGACAGGGTTCAGGTATGATTGTTAGCAGTGATTGTTAAGAAGTTATATATATTATAGAGCATGTTTCGTAAGCACATCTTGGTCTTGTACAAGGCAAAAACAGCAAGGAGACGAAAGGTACAAGATTGTCCACAAGGGGCGCCAAATAGACTAGAGCAGAAGTTTCTTACAATGGCTTTAAAGAACCTGCTCTCCCAAAGATTCACATCTTTCTGCTTTCTAAAATTGTTCCTGTTTGACACCTTTTTTATTAAAATGAATTACATTTTTCTAAATTTATCCAGTAAATTTTTAATGTTTGAATATTTTATTAAAGTGCCCTGTGAGTGTATTTCAAAAAGTGCATGTAAATTAAAGTTTATTTTTGTTGTTTCATAACTGTAACACACAGACAAGTTAAGTTCTTTTACTAAAATCATCATATAGATGCATAAATGTTAATGTTTACAATTTATATTCAGCGTCTAATTGACCCCTTTTCAGTCTTGTTAAAGCCACGTTTTTGTTTGATTTGAGGGTTTTACTCTTACAGGGAAAAAATTCTGTGCACATAAAGAAAGATCATTGGAAGTTCTCCTCATCTTGTTGAGTCTACTAAATAACTTTTTATATAAACTGTTTTTCTGTGTAGTTTGAATAAGTTTTACATATTTATTTTTTATGTACTTTATTTGTGTGACACATCGCCATGGTTACATTAAGTTTCTGTTCAGTGGGAGTGAGGGGAGATGGTCCCAAAGTTTGCCGCAGTATCTGAAACGTCAAGCTTGACGAAGGGTGCTTCAATGAGCTGTGAGTGTGATGTCAAACAGAGTTCACTCTGCAGAGAAGTGGGAGTGGAGAGGGGCTGCTTTTAGAAATCCCCTTTCACTTTGTTATTAAGCAATTTGTCAGGACACACACACACACACACACACACACACACACACACACACACACACACACACACACACTGTATTGATTTGTGGTGAGTAAATGTTGGCAGAACTTTTGTCTCTTCATTAGAAAATCCCCACAGGTCACCAACACTGAATCATTGCTGTGTTATGTAGAGCCCAGGAGTTTAATTGTTGGGTCAAGGTAAACTCTTGCCCTGCCGCAAAGAGTGATGAAGTCGGACACTTTGAGTTTGCACGCCCTCGTTTTGATAATCCTGATCTACTTTGGCGAGCTGGCTGCTGAGCCTGAGAGAGCAGGGGGTGTTTCAAAACTCATATGGTGCATTGAGTTGCTTATGACGTGAAATCTGATTCTGACATGAAAGTGTTTAATATTCTCTGTATGAATGTCCACCATGATGGGCACCGTGCATTGTACAAGTTTATCATCAGATGTCTTATTTCATCTGTACATGTTTCTGTTTGTGTGTCTGCAGGAGAATGTGTCCCTGGCCGACATCCTTTCTCTGCGGGACAGCTGTCTGTCCGAGGAGGAGGTGTGGGCGGTGTGTGCAGAGTGTGTTGTTGCTCTGCAGAGCATCAGACCGTCCCACCTCTTTCACACCCTCTGTATCACACCCGACACTCTGGCCTTTAACGCTCATGGGAATGTTTGTTTCATGGAGCAGCTCAGCGGTGAGTCTACAGCATGGACACACTCATATTTGTGCAATAATTTAACCGCTTTTTGAATGTTGCATGTTTTTGCGTGTTCGGCTAATTTAATTCATGTCAGAAAGAAGAATTCAGAGAGCAGATGACATTAAGGATAAGATCAGAACTGCACAGTTTGAATGTGATTTCTCATCACCTCAGTTTAAGCTCTGTTTGACTCAGGAAAGGCTCCTCTTTCTCTTCAGTGATTTCTTGCTCTGATCGCTATCAGTTTAATTTGCAAATTCCTGCTTGAAAGGACTCTTTCTGCGTCTGACTGGACCTGTCAGGCTCTGCTAAAGTCTGATTTGGCAAAACTGCATTTTTCTCCTTCAAAGACCTTTCTCTTGTTGGTCTTTTCTCTCCATTTATACACTACATATCCTACTCTATTTCATCTATTTTATGTGCAAACACATTCACACACAGTGGCATGTGCTTTTTCCATCTCCTGATGCCGATGTCAGAAATTGATCTGCATTGATTAGATCAACAGCGTGAGAGCTGCCAGGGGGAGGGTTGTTGTTGTTGTAACACAGTCAGCGTGTCATTCTCTTAGACTTGTGTATCCATTTGCCTCCACACTTTATCTTAGGTCAGTGATGGAGACACTTTAAAGAGATGTTTGATGATGGTGAGCTTAAATCTTTCACAGCCTCATTTGTGGTCACGCTTTAATGGATTGTGTTCTCTCCTCCATCTCTGATTCATCCTGTGAAGGGGGAGCCACAGTGCCAACATAGACACTTGAAAATTTTCTTTTATGTGCTAATATACAATTTCTAATACATAGGAGAACAAAGCGTAGAAATAACATTATAATTTCTGTGAAGACCCCGTTTGAAACCAGTTTATGTTTCAAGAACCTAGAGACCAGTTTGGGGCAGGTAACTCAAAACCTATAAATCGTAACAAACATCACTTACTGCTTTGAAAAAAAAAAAGAAGAAGCTAAATCACTGGGTGAGTTACTAAATTATAATAATAACTCATGTGTTGCTTTCATGTGCTTTAATAATAATATTTATGTGAATATTTAAAGTAAGGGAACCAACCCCCAAAAAGGCTCCAGTTGTTGGGTTGTTGGATCCGACCAAAACAGACAATAGTAAAAATATCAGGTTTATCACAGGTGTCTTTGGAAATCAAGCTCACGGTGACACCGAATGTGGATCAGATGTGTACGGACTGTCTGCAGCAGTTATGTAATAGTTCACTCTGATGTTAAATTAGGATTGAAATTAGATTGATTGTTCAGCACTATAACTAGTCATTACAAACTCTGTTGCTGTGAAGTGTCCTTTACAACTTTTGTGTTGTCAAGATGTTAGAGCTTGAAAACAGAACAGAGGACACACAACATATTTTATTTTCAACTCTTCGTTCATACATTTTTGTGGTGCATTTAGGTTGTTTCATTTCCTTCAATCGTAAAACTTTTGGTAACACTTTATTTGACGCCTATCTCTATAACACATTATGTATAATGCATGACTTACAAGGTCAGGTATTATCATACCAAATCAAATCAGGCATTATTATATGTTAAGCTTGTTGCTATATAGCCTTAATGATAGTTATACAAGTTTATAAGCAAATTATAACACATCATAAATAAATGTATAATGCATTATCTATGTGGGCATTGTCAGTGAGTTGTTAACAGTTATAACACATTATAATACTTGACCTTGTAAGTCATGATAAAATGCTTTATAATGTGTTATGATTATTGCTATAAAGCATTATAATCATTTACGAGTGTGTAAAACTATAGGTTTACAGTGCTATAATGTAATTATAATGCATTATACATATATTTATAATGTGTTATAGAGATAGACATTAAGCAAAATGTTACCTAAATTATTATTTTTACAAACCATCTCTCAGACTATTGTATTGCTAACTCACTAGCACCAGCTGCTTCTTCATCATTCTTCTTTCTTGACGTGTGGCAACAGTAAAGAGCCACTGCTATGAACTCACAGTTTGACAGTAGCCCCTATATTTTAGCACAGTGGTTCTCAAGTCCAGTCCTCGAGGCCCACTGTCCTGCATGTTTTGGATGTTTCCCTGCTCCAACACACCTGATTCAAATGATCAGCTCGTTATCAAGCTCTGTAATGGCTTAATAACGAGCTGATCATTTGAATCAGGTGTGTTGGAGCAGGGAAACATCCAATTTGAGAATCACTGTTTTAGCACAACATCAGTACTCTATTTTTTTCAAAGACTGTTATCGTCACTACAATATGCCTGTAATATTGATGTAGCAACAGCACCAATAAGATTATACACAAAAGTATGCCATAAGAAAAACTGACACAGTGTGATCAATTTGTGATTGTTATGCTTATCCACACAGAGAATATTCAATATCAATATACTCCTTGTATATCAATATAACATATATTTAGCCATTTACATGAAGACTGTCATAGTTTTCTGTCTGTGTATGTATCCTAATGTGTCAGACACCCATCTATAACTCTGGTGGTCTGCCAACATAAAACCAATCCACATGAAGATTGAAGCATTTACGACACTTTCATTGTTGTATGTTTTCCTTTACTTGGAGGGTTTAAAGAGTTAGTGTAATTGCATATTCTCACAACACAACCGTGATTGCAATAAATTGCTCATACAGCGTTGATTACTCACTCCAATCTCTGCATTTCTAGCTTTTGTAAAGAAGTTTCAAGCTGGTGAATACAACTGAACAGCCATTCAAACGCTCACCCACACAAACAGCAGCCGCCCTCCCCCTTAAAGCTTTATTACTGAGTGACCTTGAGGCCTGTGGACAGATTGTCTGTTGTCACAGTGACTCATCAATACAGTTCATTTTAGGTTTGTCATTAGTGCAGAAACAGTAGGAGGCGAGTTGAATGGCTGATTTGGCAGCCAGGGTAACAGATTTCTCCTCCCGGTTTACATCAATTATGACAAAGAAAAAAATGTCCAGTTTCTGCTGCAGGTTCAGCCCCACAGGCTGCTCCACCACCGATAAAACCGAGCTGACCGAGCTCTGTGGGACGTCTGATCAGCCCGTTAGAAAGTATGTTGAATCAGTCAAACATAACTCAGCTCTTACTACCTGTTGTGCTGAAATGCTGTGGGCACACATGACTCACCGAGCTCTCACCATCACCCTGGAGGCATCTGCGTCACCCACAACGGCTGCTGCCTCCTTTTTTTTCTCTCCTTCACTGCATATTTTTTTGAGTTGCTCACCAAAGGGTTAGATATCCTACCCTTCTTTCCTCCGTCTTTTTCCTCCTCTTTTTATCAAATCTGTCAGCATCAGACTAGGAGGTGAGATGGAGAAAAAGAAAAGAAGGGAGATAAAATAGCAGGATAGGTGAGGACAGGAAAAAAGTAGATAGGGGAAAGAAGGAAAGTAGAGGAGCAAAAGGAAATAAAATAGGAGGAGAAGAGGAAACTGGGTGAGCAAGTCTGGTGATTAAAAGCAAAGAGAAGAGAGGAAAGATGTGAGAAATAAGTAAAGAGATCAAGGAAAGGAAACAAAGAGAGATGAAAAAGACAAAATAAATGAATTGTTTGAAAGGTGAAGTGAGGAGATAAAAGGAAACTAGAGTTGTTGGAAAAAGTAATAAAAGGAGCAGGGGAACGAGTAAATATGAAAAAGAAAGCGCCAAAAAGAGGAGGATAGAAAAGGTTAGAGATGAGTACACATTGGAGATGAAATGAAAGTCTCTCTAGAAATCGGAGTCAGCTCTTTACTCACGATAATTAACTTACAAAACATGTTACCTGCTGCTCTGTTAGCCTCGCCGTTTCCCGTGAAAAATGTTCACAATAAATGAAACATTTGACTATCAAAAGTTAGCAGGATAAGGTTTTTGATAGAGGACACTATCAAAATCTACATGCACAGCTTAATCCGACAAAGCGCATAATCCTTTTTTTTTTTCTGGCGAATTGGACTGCCCTCCTTGTCCGCATTTACATGCAGCCGAGAAAATCGAATTATTGACATGAACGTGTCCTCCTCCTCAAAGCTATGGGGCAATATGGGTATTTCAGCTTTGCTGTTTCCGGTTGACACAACAACAACAGCAGGTCCGTGCCAGACATCAGACATGGCTACAACTGCTTCTTGGCATTTTCGAGCAAGAAGATGGAGCATCGTACAGTGTTGTTTTTTGTCGTACACGATGTACGCGCTACTTTTCCTACAGATGAGGTGCACGCTACTCCTCTTCTCTGGTGCTTTTGTTCTGACTACACTGGTTACATGCTAGAGAAAATTGAATTCCAATCGCATTATCTGGGTGCCTTTATCAGAGTTCTCTGACTCCAATCGGAGTTCTCAAACTCCGATTATAGTCGGACTAAGGTGTTTATATGCACTTCAGTTGTCCTGTCTTAATTGGAGTAAGGCAATAATTCAGTTTGCTTGAGTGTCATGTAAACGTACTGAGTGTCTAAGAATGTAGAGGACATGATAGGCAAAGACTGTTTTGTCCACAGGGGGCGCCATATCTGACGAGAGAGAAAAGTTCCTTACAGGAGCTTTAATCGCTGTACCAATCACTGTACTCATTATTTTGTCAAATTAGACCACTGGAGAAAATGACGAGAAGCAAAGAGGAGACGATGAAAAGAGAGGGGGAAAAATAGAGATAAGGCTCTCTTCACCTGGGAGAGGACACGAAAGTCCAGGAGACAAACCCAGATCTGTCATGACCCACTTTCCTCCTCCCTTCCTTTCCTCCTCCTTCTCCAACTTTAGCTCTAACCCATCGCTCTCACTCTTTCTTCCTCTTTCTCTTTGTCCTCCAGTCTCTGTCTCCATCTGTTCCTCTTCCTACCTTACCTTCAGTCTGGCATGCTCATGGTGTTTCCATGTGAGTTGTGTTTGCAGTCTCATTCGTGGCCTATTTTACAATGAGGAGGATGAGGGCGCAGCAGACCTCCATCTTCTGATCTGTTCATTGATGTCGACGTGTTTGTTGGGGTTTCATTCTGACTCATGGATTATGCTTATACAGAGGGAACAGTAGGGGATTGAATTGTTGTGCTTCATCACTCTGGATACATATTCCTGTGATTTACATCTTGTTATGCAGGAAATTAGGAGCATTACAGCGCAGATCCAATATTATGGCATTCACATCAAAGGGAAAACGCACCATTTGCTCCCTTTTGATGACTGTATGTGTTTCTGACAAGCTTGATTGTGCGTTTAATCACTGTGTTTGTCTCCTGCAGACGATCCAGAAGGTTCCTTTGTGCCCCCTGAGTTTGACAGCACAGGAAGCACATTTGAGGTGAGAAAATCCTCTTCTTGATTTTAATCTGGTCCCAGTCGAACACAGCTTTCACCCTCGGGTATTTCCTGGTGCTCTGCACAGTTGCAGGCCCTTCGATGATATTGATCTTTCTCTATCCTCACCTGAAAGTCATCAATCATTCAGCTGCAATCTCACCTTTACCCCAGTCACCGTCATGTGACCACACTGAACAAAGAACAGCAGTGAGGTGCTGACGTCAGAGAAAACTGTGGGGATTTGATCCATCCTGTAGTAAATGACTATTGAAGTCAAAGGTACAGTGTACCGATAACATTTAAGTAAACTATTCAATGAATGAACTAACTGTAGCTTCGTGGCAATTAGGGTTTGTTTTTACAGTATAACTATATATTTTCAGGGGGATTTTTTTCTACTTTGTACCCTACAAGTTCAATAATACAATACACCACAATAATAAAAACATTAATAAACTAACAAGGAAGACCAGTAAACAACGAATAGCCATCTCAAGGCAGTGTCCTTGTGAGGGTTTTCTTTTGTTTACATTGCATTTACTTTGCAAGAAATCTATTTCATTTACCCCAAGGCAGTGTCAAAATGCCCTGAGCATGTGTGCTGCACTCAGCATCATATTTGCTGTAGGCCTCTTCCCTTGTTCACCACTTTCCAGCCTTTCCTCCTCCTCAATCCATGGTGTAGAGCGATTTGTCAGGTATCTTGTCTTTTCACCTAGAGGACACGGAAGAACATCCTCTTGGTCCACATCTTGAACATACTCCACTGATTGCTCTGGTGGCTTTTCTCCCACTTTTGCAGGCTTTTTTCTCTTTGACTCAAGTATGGGCGATTTTAACAAACCACCTACGTAGCTTGAATGGTGTCCCGTCATAGCGACTTCTGTCTGTGGTTAACTTGACATTGGTTTGGATAAAAGACAACTAGAGCTGCAGTCTCTGTGCCCTGGTCTGTGGTAAAGGCAACCTGACAGTGTAGACTTCATACTGTGAAGATGTACATGTAAGAACCCTTGAAACTTTCAGGGATGCATGTTTGAAAAGGGCTCTATTCTCTGGAGGAAAAGTCAGGTCTGACATTCTTGAACAACAACATCTCTTGGGTCACCTTTTTGAGTAATACATGAGCTGAAACCATGTACTATATATAGAAAGGACGCTGTCTGCCTCCTCGCTGGGTGAAGCCACTCCGAGAACAGCCCCCTCTCGTGACGGGCTGCAGTATAGGTCATAAATCCTGCCTTCTCCAGTAAAGCTTATAAAGCTGTAGACAAACTTTAGAAATTTATTACACAGAATATACATTTTTCTCTCCCCTGCTTGCAATGTTGACAAGTAGTTATTGTAAGACTGGTTTGTGCTCAAGTCCTCTTTTTTTCTGTACAGCTCCATTTGTAAAAGTTATTTGGGGGTTCATATTTTCTATGATTGACACTTTATACAGCCTATGGGTGTGCAAAGATTGCGTAGCTAACCCGGGGGATATGCTGTTTGAGCCAAGTGTCACAGCGACTCTTGGCGACTCTCCTGCCAAATCTTCATCATTATTTTTATCATGTTCAAATACAGATAAAGTAAAATAAAAAACAAAAAAACAAGGCTTTATGAAAATAGAATAATAATAGTAATAATAATAAATAAAATAAAATAAAATAAAATCAAAGACAAGCCTAACAGGCAGCAATCGGCCAATATCATGATCATGTTCAAAAAGGAGTAGAGTGAAGTCAAGACCTATGTGGTCCTACCCCTTTGTCAACTACACAGCGTCAACGCTTTACAAACTGTCGTACTGTATACCTATAAAGTATACTTCAACAAGTTGATTTACCACTTATGTATCAAATGCGTAGAAAAGACAGTGGAAGATAGAACCAAGTTGTCCATAGTATATACAGTCTATGGCTAAAACTCACTACCCTTTTGCTCATAGCACAACAGTAGAGTTCAACCATAGGACGAGTTTTTTTCAATGAAAACAGCAGCAAATCAATGACAGTTGTGTCGGATGATTGTATCAATAAGGTTGGTGATGTCACAGCCTCATCAACTCATTATTGTCTGAGCCAGAATCGTACTTTAATGATCAGCCTTTAACCGCACATCATGACACACTGGTAGAGGTGTGGTTGTAATTTCAGAGTGAGGCACTAAAACACGATCTTCTCCAGTGGAGCCTTGCAGAATACACCTGCAGCTCCATGTTTAACAGGGTGCTGAGGTTAATGACTGAGTGGATCTTATCTCTTATATAAAGCTAATGCATGTAATGGGGCTGCGTTCAAAAGCTTTGGATGTCTCCTGCAGAAACAGAAAATAAAAAATGTGAAGCCCAAGGACAGCGTGAACGCATTTCCACTGAACTAAAAAATGAACCATGCATTTTGATTCTGCTATGTCAAAATACCAAAAATAAATGTTACCAGGAAAAAAAAAAATCTCCCTTTTACTTTCTGGGTTTTCTCTACTGTGTTTCTCTCCTATTATTCACAACCAAAGCGACAGCAAAAGCAAAACAGGATTTCAGGCCTTAAGCTGTGTGCTTAACTCTTCTATTTTGGTGACCCGCACTGGGAACCGCCTTGCACATGTGTTCACCACATAAGTATGGGTACTGTCCACTTCACTTGTTGGGAATGATGGTTAAGTCTGATGTGAGCTCAGAAGCACCTGATATAACTCCGCAGCTGCTTCTGAGCTGACCATAATATCTACTGTCAGCTCAGTGAAGAAAAACAAAAGCTCCGTCATAAATACGCACAATAAGTGGCAATTACAGCCCCACATGATGCAAAGGTCCTGTATTTTCTTGGCTTTTCTTATCTTAATCATCATCCTCGGATTTAGATCTCTGTACTTGCTGGAGACTCACAGCTGCAGCAGCCAGCTCATGATAATCATAACGCTGATGATTTCTCCTACTTTATCCCCACCTGCAGGGTCATGTCTACTCTCTGGGCTCCACGCTCTCTGCTGCACTGAACTTTGTCATCGAGCCAGAGCTGGAGGCCGAGCTGGGAGAGGAAATCCAGAAGCTGCTGGAGCAGATGCAGGAGGAGACACCTGAAGACAGGCCGCTCCTGCAGGTAGAACATCACAATCTACTGTTGGCACAATTTAGAAAAAAACCCTGTGTGAATTTAACACCATGAGGCAGGTGTGGGATAATTAGTGATGTCGTTTTCATATTTATGCTGCCAGTTTGTCATCATAAGTGTTTAAGTGTTAGATTGGGTTTATTTTAATGCAAGTAAAAATAAGCATATTGAAGCCAGAGTCTGAGTTTGAAAAAAGGTTAAATTATAGTGTGATAGATTACAAAAAACATGCATATAAAAAGACAAAATTTACAAAATAGGATGTACCATATTGATATAAAGCCATAAAGCAATACATTTATGTGACTTAGCCATTAAAATGACCCTGAGAGATGAATGGTTATTACACTGCAGCATGTGTGTGGTCAGCCTTGATAATGTCCTTTCACTATAAGATAATAAAGTATACCCCAGGGCAGCACTGAATCATGATGCCTGTGCAGTAAAGAGGGGAACCACATGGGTCCAGCAGGACATGTTAATGTGTTTGATGAAGTTGTTTTTTTTTTTTTCCTCTGTGAAATAACGCAATGGTCCTGCATAATGTGAGCCAGGGATTTTTAGCACCATCAAGTGGTGGTACTGGGTCACTGCAGCGAGTGCCAATTCTCTAACAAGCATACTGAACTGTCCTGTAGCCTGCCACAGGCATACCTAAGGTAAAATAAATCACAACCATAAGTGAACTATCACAGTATCACAACAAATTTGATTAATTATGCTACTTTATTAACGGTGCTTCTTTATTAACCTATGTTTTTTTTCTTCATTAATACACAATAGTGTTTAGGTATATCTTATTAAAGCTCCTTTGCATCAAGATTGACAATTTTTAGTTAGTCTTTTTCAATGTCTCAATCCAGCACAAAAGGGTAGGCGGCAGCTGAGCAGCCATATTTATCGAATTTCCCCTTGGGGGTAAATAAAGTACTTCTTATCATCTTATTTTTGCCATTTCAAAATATGGACAAAAAAATAATACATTTTACCATCAAAAGTCAGTAGAATGATATATCAGGACAAAAGTTAGTACTTTAGCATGTGAAGGGACATTGCAGCACAACTTACACCAACCAAAAGTTCCTCACAAGTGCTGTAAGTAAGTTATAGAGCAAGGTATATAAATGACCAAAAGAGGTCTTGTGTCACTCTACTGAGTTTTTGCTGTCTTGAGCTAAAATGATACAGCAATATTGTATTTAGGGTTTCCTGGGGAGACTTTTTGGTTACAACCATGTCATGTCCTTTGTCACTAGAGCACAGCAATGTCCTGCAAACATAAACACACTGGAAAAATCGAGTGTTTGGGGGAAGGCCCAGCCAGGGTTAAATACAGCTGAGGCCTATGCATGTACTATGTCCCAAACCACAGTAAGCAGCATAGATTAAAAGCACATCGGGCCTTACCATTATGGTTGTATGGTTAAGTTTTTTTTTTTTTTTTTTTTTTTTTTTTTTTTTTTTAAGAAAAGGGACATTAGCATGACAATCTCCTCTTTCTGGATTTAAGTAGTTTAAACAAGATATTGTAAAATATATCAGCAGTGCATAAATAAATCAGAATATGATCAGCTGCTGCTCAACCTAACAGGGTGTAGAGGACCTGACACAGAGTGAAGGTGTATTCAACTAAACATTTTACTAAGCTTATTACCCAGCTGCCAAAAAGTATTGATTCAATTATGTTTCTTTTTAATTATTATTATTTCAATGATTTTTTTTTTTTAAGTTCAAAAAAATTAAGTCCCTCTGATTCCAGGGTCAGTAAGGATTTCATTGCAACAGATTCATTTCAATCGACTCGCTGAAGAAATCATTTGCAAAATCAAACTTTCAATTAATGGCAAAGTTGAAACATAGTTATATACTCAAGTGTATTCACCTCATTTATCAATATCCCTAAAAATAGGGCCTGAAAGAGGCGTCTGCCACTTCCCACACCAAGTAAGCAAACTCTGACCCAGTTTAAAAAATATTGGTGATGGTAGGGTGAACTAAAACCATAGGCTGTGGACAACTTGGCTCCGCCTTCCATCATCATATTGTTCATATTCAGTTAACCGAATATGATAGAACTGCACCAAATTTAACATCTATGTGGCCAAGTACTTTCAATTATTACACGAACTTTTGCTGTAACTCAGCAATAGTTCATGTGTTTCAAACAATAGTTCACTTGCTGTTCAGTTGATGATCAGGTCAATAAAGTAAAGAACAAACAAGTTATAGTGAAGGTCTAAATGCCACGCTAAAGTTTTAAGGGTCAAAACATTGTGTTTGAAATCCAACTCTCCTCCTGGTAAAACAAGGCTGATAATGAAATATTTTGAGATTTTGTTTTTTTGAAATCACAAACCCTCCTACAGGACATCCTCTCTCTGGCTGAAGCCCGGCTGTCTCTCGTCTCCTCTGCTGCTGTGTGCAGAAAACTCTCCTCTATTGGACGTCGTGTTCTCTCCATTGAATCAGTATCAACCTTTCAAGGTCTTTATATCATTTAATTCTCACCTACTGTCACTGTCTGCTGCCTGCTGTGATTTCCACTGCTACTAATTGCTCTCTTTGTAAATCCACAGATGGACAGGAAGGCTCCTGGGAGGCGCGATGGCAGCATCCCAAACCCAGATGTCTGCTTAAAAGACTGAGCCCGGATGATAACACCAAAGAGCTGTGTGTGGACACTTCTGCTAAAGCTAACGGTCTGTCTAGGAAGCAGGTGTGTAAAAAAGAGGCGGCAAACATTTAACAATCAGACAGAAACCAATAAATGATCCATCAGTTATTCATCATAAGGCGGTGATAAGGGCTGTAAGATCCAGTCTCTTATCTGTGTGCTTGTCTGTCCTGCGCCGCACAATGTGCTGTGTTCCTAATATGTGCTCCAGTTAGCTCACGTTTAGTCAACTTGTCAGCTTGTGGCTCAGCTAGCTAAGCTGTATCCTGGAAAGTTGTTTGTATGAACTTGATATTTCAGCTCAAACTCATGACTGTGGACTTAAATTCTTTAGGTGTGTGGGGGCTGGGATTCCTCTCTGTGGGCTGAGGACATGGACAGCAGTGAAGGAGATGGTTTGATCTCAGCAGACGAGTTGGACTGCAGGTCCTACAACAGCTCCCCAGTTAGGAGAAGAGCCCAGCAGAGGATGACCCGAGGTAGGGGGGCTCTAAACCGCTCCTGTTCTGTCCCGGACTCCAACAACCCTCCCTGTCTCTCCCCGGCTGCTCATGGAGATATCAGCGTACCTGTGTCTGACCTCAGTGAGATAGGAGCGGATGAACGCCTGAGCTGCAGGTCTGTGTGGACAAACAGACTTCAAAGACTGGAGCGGGGCAAGTCCTGTGAGTCTTACCCCCACAGCAGCACTGAGGATTATGGGAACTCGACTGTGGACAGAAAAACGTCAGAGGAAAATGAGGACACTGCAGAGACGTTATGCATTGTAGAAACAAACATCCAAGAGGAGCAGGAATGTGAATCTAATAACTGCACCCTGGACTCAGCTTCTCCCTGTACTTCCTGTCAGGATCTGGAGCAGGAGCAGAGCTCGTCTCAGGAGCAGAGCTCGTCTAAGGAGCAGAGCTCTCTGAACCACAGCCTCTACATTCCCAACAACCACATGACCAAAAGCATGCTGTGCCTCAATGAGGAATCTCAGGATGAGGTGAGTTTTCATCTCTGACCCTGCACTTATGTTATAGGTCATTTCTCAATATCAGATTTGGTGCCATCACAGAGTTTAACTCAATCAGCATCCTGCGGTAGTAAAGGAGTGAAGCCAGAGCAGAAGTTCAAAACCTCAAGTCCCTAAAGTGTCCTCATGAGGCTTGCTCCAAAAGAAAACAAAGAAATCCCACTAGAGCCCACCCTGCCTTTACATTCAGTCAATTAGTCCATCTCAGGTAGTTTATTCAAGGCAAATAGCCAATCAAAGCCAAGGACTCTGAGGCGGCACCTGGGGTGGACACTTATGTTTCAAGGTAGTAGAGGGACACTTCTGGCAGTTTCTTCTTTATGACTATAAAAAATAGACAAAGGAAGTCAAATGAAAGGCTGTTAGAAACTCCTTATCCTCTTGTCTCTGTATTCTTTTTTTTCTGTCCAGTGGATCTCTCTCAGAGAGTTACTGACTCGGTGTGAGCGGAGGCTGACAGTCAGTGAGCTCTGGGCTCTGTGTTACACCTGCCTGTCCTCGCTGCAGACATACATCGACTTTCCAGGTACAGCCATGCAGGAAATCACCTCTTACTACCTCATATAGCAAAAAAGATTCACCTTAAAGATGCACTCCAATCATTTTTTACTACCTAAAGTGTTCTCATTGGTCTTTAAATTGTGATGATGAAGTTTTTATCAAAAATCGCATTGCCTGTGTCGTTTTCAAGGCCTTTTTTCGCAGAGCTCAAGTAGCTCATTAGCACTTCACCTCTGAATCGTGGGTGGAGACAGCGCTGCTCTGCACACTTCTCTTCTCGTTAGCTTGCAGCCTAACATTATCAGTGTAGTAGAAGTGGCAGGTAACAGAGAAGTTATTCAGCTCACAGACACTAATGTCTTTAGGGACACAATGAAAGCTAATATCATAATTAGTATTGCAATCTGCTAATGCACACGTTTGTTCCGCGATCGTCCTCTGTATTTCAGAGCTTGGACTGGTTATGTATGAAATGTCATTGTTTCTGAACCTGCTTTTGAACTTGAATGAAGAAATACTCAGAAAAGCAATTTCGCATTTAGTTTTATCATGGTATGTCCTGTAGCATCAGAAAAGCACGATTATTCTGAAGCAGATGTGTCTCTTCTCTTTCCCATCAGCGTATTTGTGTCTGGACACAGTTTATGTGGGCTCTGAGGGAGAGGTCCTTTTCTTGAAACCTAAAAACATTGGTGAGTTAACTGAACTCCTGGTCAGTCTCCACTCTGCTGGAGCTGTTTTACATCTTTATCCTTCATTTTTAGTCCTTCACATACAAAATAAATGCTGACTTCATCTACTCACTTCTTGTTCTTTCCAGCCACCAGAGATGAGTTTTACCTTGCCCCTGAGTATCAAGAACACGGGATAGTGACTGAGAAGGTCTGCCTGACTGCTCTACCATTTTACGTTCACTTTTTATGTGCTTGTGTTTCAGCTCTCCTTCTCCTTTTTTTTTTCTTTTCTGTCCTGGCTCAGGTTTGTGTGTACGGAGTTGCTGCCATTCTCTGGGCGACGGCCAAGTTCGGTTTATCACCCAATCAAAAGCTGGCAATGCCTCGCAAACTGAAGAGACTGCTGCTGGAGATGGCCAAGAGGACGCCGATAGAGAGGCCATCCATCGTCATGGCGAAAAAGGTAATGATTGCCACAACTGTGGTGGAATCACCCACGAACATGAGTGCATTGTTGTGGAAAGTGTTAAATATCTCATTTTAAACTGGTGTTTTATACACTCACCGGCCACTTTATTAGGTACACCATGCTAGTAACGGGTTGGACCCCCTTTTGCCTTCAGAACTGCCTCAATTCTTCGTGGCATAGATTCAACAAGGTGCTGGAAGCATTCCTCAGAGAGCTTGGTCCATATTGACATGATGGCATCACACAGTTGCCGCAGATTTGTCGGCTGCACATCCATGATGCGAATCTCCCGTTCCACCACATCCCAAAGATGCTCTATTGGATTGAGATCTGGTGACTGTGGAGGCCATTTGAGTACAGTGAACTCATTGTCATGTTCAAGAAACCAGTCTGAGATGATTCCAGCTTCATGACATGGTGCATTATCCTGCTGAAAGTAGCCATCAGAAGTTGGGTACATTGTGGTCATAAAGGGATGGACATGGTCAGCAACGATACTCAGGTAGGCTGTGGCGTTGCAACGATGCTCAATTGGTACCAAGGGGCCCAAAGAGTGCCAAGAAAATATTCCCCACACCATGACACCACCACCACCAGCCTGAACCGTTGATACAAGGCAGGATGGATCCATGCTTTCATGTTGTTGACGCCAAATTCTGACCCTACCATCCGAATGTCGCAGCAGAAATCGAGACTCATCAGACCAGGCAACGTTTTTCCAATCTTCTATTGTCCAATTTCGATGAGCTTGTGCAAATTGTAGCCTCAGTTTCCTGTTCTTAGCTGAAAGGAGTGGCACCCTGCGTGGTCTTCTGCTGCTGTAGCCCATCTGCCTCAAAGTTCGACGTACTGTGCGTTCAGAGATGCTCTTCTGCCAACCTTGGTTGTAACGGGTGGTTATTTGAGTCACTGTTGCCTTTCTATCAGCTCGAACCAGTCTGGCCATTCTCCTCTGACCTCTGGCATCAACAAGGCATTTCCGCCCACAGAACTGCCGCTCACTGGATATTTTTCTTTTTCGGACCATTCTCTGTAAACCCTAGAGATGGTTGTGCGTGAAAATCCCAGTAGATCAGCAGTTTCTGAAATACTCAGACCAGCCCTTCTGGCACCAACAACCATGCCACGTTCAAAGTCACTCAAATCACCTTTCTTCCCCATACTGATGCTCGGTTTGAACTGCAGGAGATTGTCTTGACCATGTCTACATGCCTAAATGCACTAAGTTGCCGCCATGTGATTGGCTGATTAGAAATTAAGTGTTAACGAGCAGTTGGACAGGTGTACCTAATAAAGTGGCCGGTGAGTGTAAGTAACTACTCCCGTCAACTATATAAACAGACTTTTAGCTGTTTGAATGGACATGACAGGCTGAAATGTTGTTAACTCGGCACGAAACACTAAGCTGTTACTACAAGGAGTCATCATTGTAATCCCCTACATGAGAGGACACTTCACATAGATTCACAGGCTGCGCTGAGAACAGGATCAAGACTGGCTAAATGACAGTGTTTACTGATGAGATTAAACATTACATTTAAATGAAGAATAAAAATAGTGTTATACTACTATAAGGTGGTGTTGCACAGCACATCATCACAATGATGGGAGTGTTCGCAATTTTCTCTTTTCCTTTTGTAACCAACCCCAGTATGTAAAATCTATGTGATGTTGAAAGCCTGATCAAGGCGCTCATATCAGTGGCTGTCCTAACATCTTAAATCCATCTTTATAAGCTGTTGTCTCAGCCAGTAGACAGCAGCAGATGCCGGGTTGCCACAGCTAAGTGAGATGATGGCTCTAACATACAAATTGTTAGCCAGGCTTGTCTGCAATCACAGAAACACAGAAATATGACAGGTCTTTACTTAAAACCTGTTATGATCAAATTTGTTAGTCATATTTGAAACTGAAACCTGGTCATTTTAAAAGATGGACTTCCATCATAGTTGTTTTCATTTGAAGAAATGTTTGCAAGGAACTGAAATGATAAAACAAGTGCCTCATCACATGTGTTTTAGCTGCGTAGGAGAGTGAAAAGTCCAACTTGCAAAATATATATCTATATTAGCAGCATTTAGATTTTAAGACCCTTATCGGGCAAACTCCTGCATTACAAATGTTTGGCAATGAAAAATTCACATACAAATATCACCAGATTTACATCTGCTGAACACAGATACTTGCTCATGAGTAAAGGACTTTTTTATTCATAATTACTTTGTGAAATAAATACAAGATAAATATGCAAATTTCTTGTCATTTCTTTTTCTGCTATCACTGTTTTATTTTGGATGTTTTATGTTATTTCCACTTTTCTTGATGCATCTTATTTCTCACCTTATAAAGCAGTATGACTATCTGCAATGTGCAAACAGCACAGCTTCAGAGAGAAGCACTTTTCCAAATAAACATACTCAAACGTTTTTATTGTGAAATCATTGCAGTTAAAAAAAGAATCCTTACTTTGTCAATGAAGAAGTCTCCTGCAGATCACCATCATTTACTTTAATTGTCATGCTGTCAATCATATTTGAGCTCATAATTTTCCTCATGAATCCATTTGACAAGCACTTGAGTTATTTCAGGGCAGCATTTGTGTGATCATTATTGTGACTGTGTGTGAAGCTGTATTTTTAACACTCTCATTGTCATGTGGGTCTATTTCAGAGCTGTCACGACTACTTAACACGTCAAGGGATGAGTGCTGAGACGGTCTGGAATGACCTCATCAGTAGAGTCCACCCAGTAAGCTCTCCATGTGATTTTCATCACAAATACGTTCAGATTTTTTAAAACTTTTTTATTTCTCTTGCATTAAATAATTCTCACTGTCACTTTGTTTGTCTTTCGTTATGCTCTCTACGTCTGTCCTGTTTCCTTTCTCTCAGTCATTGTAATGATATAAATGTATTTTCCTTCAGCCAGCCTCAAAATCCAGCGATCCAGATGGTTTGAACACAGCTGAAAGTCACCAAAGCTCACATGAAGAGTCTGTACAAAACCACAGCGGTATGACAGCATAATGTTATTATGAAAGACCCTCATGCAATACTGTTTACTGTCAAATCTGCAGTAGGTTTTTAAAGATCTTTCCCAACTCAGAGAAGATTGCATTTATGACAGGAGAAGAATAAGAAAAAACTCATAATAGAAAGTTCCCTCATCTTTTTTTGAAAAGTACAGATGTGCATTGCATGAGACAATATCACTGATATTGTAACTGGCATTGTTGTAACTGTGTGTAGGCTTTGTGCCCACGGCCACTGAGAGCCGACTGGCTCCTGTGCCTGGCCCTGTTCCCCACAGCTACCCAGTCCACACTGAACTTCAACTCCCAGAAGCCTTCACTTCAACTGCCACACACTTCTCCCCCATCATCCTGACCAGTGAAGGGGACACAGAGGAGGAGAGCCCAGATCCTGGAGCTGTCATAGAGGGGTAAAATGTTTATACCTTAGCATAGGAAAAAGCTTTGAAGCCACCAAGGCTTCTGTTTGATTTGTGACAGGAGAGCAAAACTCCTGGTGCAAAAAGTGCAAAACAAGTGTGTTAAAAAGGTGAGTTGAGCCAGTGTGTCACATAAACAGATAACTGAAAGTGGATACTTTGTTATAGCTGGAGTAAAGCCTGTGAGCTAGTTCAGACAGTCAACTCTGCTGAAATAGTTTCAGCAGAGTAGAAAGGACATGACAAACACAAACACACAAGATTTCAAGTGTCTGCCTCTGCTTTGCTATTATGTGCTGAACTCAGACTTTCAGCCTCACAATTACCGATCTGTCCTGCACACTGACGCCAAAAGATAACCAGTCATGTCACTGATAATCTCATTTGAATAAAGGTCATGTAGAGGTATCAGTACAAAAGTAAGACTATTTCAATTTCGTTACAAGAGGGGAACCACATGAGTGAGTGCTATAGACTGCTTCAAGTCTGGTTGGATGCAGGTGCTGCCATGCAGTGCTACAGGCCGTATACTGAGTATACAGAGTTTAGCCAGTGCAGATGAGCCTTACTCCTGAATTAACTTCAATAACCTGTAGGACAGTGTACCTAAAAACTAGTCTGTTGGTAAATCGTCCTCTCCTGGTAAGAGGCTAACCTAGTAAGTGGTGGCATTGGCCGTTTTCTCCCTTGCTGCTTTAGTTCCACTCTTAAGTCTTAATATGATCACTTCTACTACAAGAACCAAGATAGAGACAAGAAGCACGTCTCAGAGCAAAGGCACCATGTGATTTAGCCGATACTTATCATTTGAGAATGGGTGTTGCTTGTTAGGTCAACCTAGTACCAGTCAAAGAGTGGACCAAACTTTTTTTTTTGTCTCCAGACCTTGTATACTTTGAGGACTAAGCAAAAAACAAATAAAAATGTTTAATGTTTAGTTCTAGAGGGGGCAGTAGTTGGATTTTGTTGACTTCAGGCAGGGTTTGTGCAGCTATATCTATTGCTTTCAGTTCTTCTGCTCATCTATACTGCACAGTGTCTTATTGTTACTCTTGAGTTGATGCAGATTAGTATAAATCTCAATGCTTGTTCATTCCAGGACTGTGGAGGATTTTACCAAAAGCACTGAAAGCTTTGAAGAGAGAGGCCTTGTTTTCACTTCACACCCAGAGTCCCTAAATTGTGTGCAAAGTGAACCCGGTCCAGAAACACAGGAGCTGCCTGTCAGTCAAGCAGGATTAACTTCAACTTTGAGCGATAAAACACTGGCCAACACTCCATCTTTAACTGATGTTTCCTGTATGGAAGTCTCTCTCCCTCAGCAGTTATCCCCTAACCTGAACAGTTGTGGTGTTTTCAACAATTACCTCTTCCATCAGGATCCCAGGACAGGACATCTCTCCCTGGTGCCTGTTCATGTCCGGGCTCCAGAGTCTTATTTAGGATTGGACATAAATCTCTCCTTGGTGCCACAGCCTCTGCAGAGACTAATTACGGCTCCAGAGAGCACTGATGATCAATTTATCGACTGTCTGAAAGAGTCTGACCACCAGGATTATGACCCACAATCTTATTTTTTCCAAGAGAGCTCCATCATTTCTGACAGCACACTTGATCACAGAAAGTACAATGGACAAACAGATCCAGGAGCACGCTTTGAGGAACAGTCTCCGTCAGAGTCTGTCTCCCATACAGTCCACCCTGCCCTGAAGGAGGTTATCGACCTGCTTAAAGGAGAATTCTCATTTGATGGGGGCTTGGACAATGGACGTGAAGACATTGCAATGGGTATGTTTATTTAGATGTAGAGTATATTAGCGTGCTATTGCTTGATTTGCTTTATAGTACACCAGGTTACACGTCTGTGCAATTTCAATTCAATACAACATATCTGGTGCAACATATGCCTTTGTGTATATAAAGATATTCCATTTCCCTCAAAGTAATGTTTGGGAAATGAGGGGAAAACATTTGATAATGTGTTTATTAACCCAGCAGTATTTCTGTATCCATTACTGTATCTATTGTACTGTATACATAGATAAGTCGTGCAGAAGGCATGGTCAATCTTGTCCTGCACTGATCACCCAATCTTGGCACCAGAACAAGAGGAAAAAAAAACTGCAAGTGGTAAGACATAGTGATCTATAAGCTCAGGACAAAAATTTTAAGTGTTATGCCAAAACTGTTGAAAATATTAATATAAATCAGCACAGAGATTTGGAGGAAAAACATTGCTCGCCAGCTAATTATATAAGCGATCGATAGATAGATAGATAGATAGATAGATAGATAGAAGACAAAGGTTAAAAATGGGTCAGCTTGACAGATGAGTTTTAAAATTTTGTTGGAATGAAGAAACTGATAAAATGTTAAAAAAGGAGCTGAAAATGTCTTTAAACAGTAAATTAAAAGTAATAAAATAATGTTTTAATGCGTGTGCTTGAAATATGAATTAAACACCTAAATAATTAGGAAAAAGTATTCGATCAAAGTTAATGAGATGGTAGTTTGCTTTGAATTATAGATAAAAGATTGATTTATTACCGTAAATACTCAAATAAAGTAAACTATTCAATCTGTAACCAGGCCTCTTATAACGTCTTTGATGATGGGCTTTTATAAGTGAATAAAGTCCAGCTTTCAGTTATTGGCTAGGGTGGATTAATGGTTCTAATATGGGGTACAGAAACATGGAAAACAACTTACCGGTGAGTTTGAAATGATCAGGCTTCACTGTTATAACAGTGTCAGTTTTGAAGCGAACAACATCACAGGCCTTCTGCTTTGTGAGCGCTCATCCTGACCCAGTCCACTTTATGATAAGCTACCTGGAGGGGGGAGTCTATCATTTTTATTCATGACCGCTGTGATGTGTGTAATGACTGTAACCAAGTGATCAGGGTTACGGTTACTGGATAAGTTTAATGTTTCATAATTTACGAGACACTAATGTGGAACTCTAACCACGGCTCAAACTTACTTGTTATGCAGCACAGTATATTAAAAGACTTTTGACTTATTTACTATTTGTGACAAAAGCAAATAAATGACCGAGCCCATATTTGAGGATTTAGGATAGGTCGTATATACAGAAAAAAAGCTCAAGATTACCAACATAGTAGTTGATAAATCATCAGAAAATGTGATGATCAGTTGGAAAATCCCTTTTGATTTACTTGGTAGCTGAAATCGACCGTTAAAATCAATGAGCAAACTATTACATAATACATCTGGAACTTGAAAAACAACAAAGGGGTCCTTGAGTTTATCTGGAAACAGCTATAAGGGGAATGTACGCATCCTGTTTGGTAATATTTCCAGTGGTTTCTGAAACCTCTTATTTTTTTTAAGGGGTGGACAGATCTGGTTCTGTGAATATATATTTTAGACAAAGCTGAGTAGTGTTCTTGGCTCATGGACACACAGACACCAGCTGTCCTGTGAGGAGTTTACCAGTGTGAAAGCAGCTTGAGTTCTGGGGATGCCCTCAGGTGGAGAATAAACGATAACTTTTACTCTTTTCAAACTGTTGCTGCTTCCATTGACGTCAGAATGGAAAAAATTAAACTTGACAGCTGCACAGAAACAGAGATTCTTTTGTCTGGGATGTACAAAAATCTGTAAATGTTCCTCTAACAGGGCATATCTCCGTCATTCATTTACATTGATATCCACTTTTCTTTCTCTTTTTCGAGGGGAGTACATCTTCTCATTGAAGGACCTCCAGTACCACAGGTTTGCTGCCGTTGTAAAGGAGAGGTTCAGTCATCTCTACTGGGAAGAGGACTTGCTGGGTGTACTGCACTGCCTGGTGAACTACAGCTCATCCACAATGTGAGTAAGACCCTAAACACTCGTGCCTGTTTTTTTTTCTGCTCCAATGAATTAAGATGAGCTCAGAAAACACAATTTTCTGTGAACACACCTTTGGATTACCAGTGTGGTTGGATGTTGTTGTTTCTGGTCTCTCTAGTAACTGTTCATGTTGTAGGTCAAACTCTGTGTCATTTTAAGGTATAAATACATTTTTCCCGACATCATGTGTGTCAATACGTCTCGATTTAGATGTGCACTAACAAAATATTCACAGGGTAGGAGTGTCTCAGTATGCAAATCTTGAAGATAAATGAAATGATCTGCCCAGTACTGTGTCACAAATGCAATATTACAAATTACTGAGTCCAGTAGAAGCAATTTTCATGTTTGCAAATCTGACATTTCAGAGAAAATGTCAGGGCAGTAAAGCCCCTGACATTTGTCCTTGGTTTCTTACTCACACATAATCATCAAATAATGAAGTTCCAAGTGTCAGGTTGTTTAAACAGGCTGAATATACAGCAAAGATGATGCTGCGGTGTCATGTTTGCAACACACTCAAGATGTGAGGTCATCTTTTGACGAGTGATGTGTCGGTCATGAGCGAACTTGTTCATAGACGTCTCTTAAACAATGAAAATGATGGGAGCTGGCTCTTGTCTGTGAGACTCCCCACCGCAGACCGTAGAAAACAATAACTACAAGGCAGAATGACGGGATGAGGGTGATCCATGCATGGAGTGCATGACTGTCACATGCATGCTGTGTGCAACCAATCACGCAAGGATACACTAAGCAGAGGGGGGCGGGGTGTGCCGTGTGCTTGTGCTCATTAGATGGATGTGCTCAGGATGGCTACAGCAATTTACTGATATTTGAAAACATAATTTTTACTTGTGAATACTTCAGTACAAAGGATGCATTGAATTATTTAAGAGGTATGTGTACACATATGTACATATCATAAGCCAAACAACACTAAATTTGTCTGAAGAATGAAGAGCCGTTTGGGAGCTGTCTTGGTGATCATGGGCTGAATGATCTGGCTCACTAAAAAGAGCCGTAATTCCCATCACTACTTTTGACAGATACCCTATAAAAAGTTAAGAAATTATTTTATTTTCAGACGCTGGAGGTTATTTAGGATAAAGTGCTGTTCGGGTTCTGGAAAAAAAGTTGCGTATGTTTTTAGAGGATTAGTTGTGTAATGTCCTACTTCATGGGTTATAGACGTGATCTTAGCTGTTGGCACATTAACGTTAAATCAAAAAAGGATCTCCTGTTGAAAATAAACACTTCAGTCGTAACAGGAGGATGTCCAAACTTGGTTGCACGTGATCAGGTTTTAATCTATTCTTCTGTGGGTTCTGAAGGGGAGGCGCAGCCTTTACTGAAGATGACCTTTTCTCCTACACACGCTTACGTATTACTCTCAAACACTGCATTCAAATGAGCATTTACTCAACACCCACTTCACACGTAAACTTTAGCCTGCAGCTTACACGGTTCCTATGGTAACAGCTCTACAATGTACTCGTGCTCAGGAGAGCGTCTGAAGAAAGCCTTCTCTACATTCATATTTATACACTGATATTTATATGTGGACAAGTAGCCATTAGAGGTGAAGTGTTGATGAATGGATGAATATATGAATGAAAGTGAAGAATCCATGCTTTGCTCTTCTTTTTTTTAACTCAAATATAAGCTAAAGACAAGCTGAGAAAACAGCCTGTGGTAGACATGCCATTTTATTGCTGTGCTTGTATACACTGAGGGCGATATGTGGAGAGACCCTTTTATTTACCATGGAGAGGACACATCACAGCTTTACAGAGAGATAAACACTCTCCATTTTAAAGGTGGATTGCTCACAGGGCTCAGCTGTGAGAAAGAGGGAGGATTTTAGTTTCCATATGAACAGGTGCTCTGTTTTTACTCTGATATGTATTCTGTGTCCTGCGACGTTGTGCCATGTAGTCTACTTTCATGTTGTTAAGTGCTGTACAGCTTTGATTTATAAAGCACTGTGCTGTCTTTCATTTGGGTTATACTGTGTCCTGTTTTATGCTATTGTAAGAAACTTAGTTTTGTTGCGTTATACTGCGTAGCGTCTTGGCTTGTCCATTGGTTTTTGGAGGTTTCACATGGTGCTGTTTTGTATCATTTAGTATTATATTGTAGTTTTACTATGTCATGTTGTGATGTGTGTTATCATGCAACATATTGTCATTTGACATCAGATGGTGCCATATCTTAATGTGCCTATTATTTCACATTGTATTGTGTTTTTTTTTTTCAGTGTTGTGTTGCGTTATTTGGTTGTGTCTCGATATAATTCTCAATGAGATCAGCACAAAAGATCGGATTAGATAAAATGTTATATCACATTGTATTGTACAGTATGGTGTCATTGTCATGTATCGTAGCATATCATATAGTTTGGCATAGTATGGTATGGTGTTGTATTTTGTTGTATCAGACTGTATCATACTCTGCTGAGATGGAGCTTGAGGTGCCTGCCTGAGTGCAGTCCTGTAATTCTGTACCTATGAGTGCATGTCCAGAGGATCCTGTTTGGGTATATATTGGTATGTCAATAGAGCTTATTCAGCATCAAGGCTAAGTGGTAGGGCGTGGCATTGGATGGCATGCTGTTGCATGTTGATGCATATTGCATTTTATCTTATCATATCAATTTGAATTAAACTGAAATGAATTAAGAGATTGTTTTCTTTTGTATCACATTGTATTGCATGGATCTCGTCATATATTGTTGTATTTTATCTTATTGCATAGTAAACTATCAAATTGCATTGTTTCACATAGAATCACATGAGATAGAATTTTGTCGGATGACATGCAGTATTGTGTTGTGAAATGTTCCTGTGCATCCTTATGTGCTAGCTCTTGTTGCACTGTACAACATTGTATCCTAAATTATTGTTATGTGTCATATACTGCAGTACATTTGTTCTGAAGTTACATATTAAGTCAAATGTTATTGGAATCTATCAGGTTACACTTAATCTCATTGTGTTTATTTATTGAATACAGTATTTTGTACTTTTTTGTACTCTCTTGTATGTAGCTTTATGTGTTGGCAGAAAACATTACACAGTATTGTATGAAGCATTTTTTTGTGTCAGTTAGTGTTTAAGTATATTTTATTACATGATATGATAAAGACTCATATGTATGGTATTGGGTACTGCATTGCATTGATGTGTTATGTTATTGTAAGTGTTGTATTGCACTGGATCATTGTCCATCTGTGTAAAGTTCATAGAGTTTTTACGTTGGCCTTTCCCCTCAGTTTTCTTATTAATGGCATGCTCAAATGGATAGGACTGACATTATTATTTACATAAGCCCTAATTATCACAAGCTTTGAACACACTCTATGTGTTCTCTGTCTCATTGCGCCTCCTGCAGCGGCTCTAATGAGCAGCCTCCATCAAAGACTGTGGAAAGGGCAGCCGTAACACCACCCTCGACAGCCACTGTCTGGGCAGAGAGGAGGGGAGTTTGCCTGCACGGTTGTTTCGACCTGAATGGAAACATTCACATGTCCAGTCCGTCTGCAGAGGATTCCTGGGAAGGAGCTGAGGCCCAGCCTTGCCCCAGAGAAAATGAGGCAGCACATGAAGATTCAAGGATAAGATCAGAGGAGAACCAACACTTTATTTATAGAGGTAGGAAGTAAACTATTTTTACTAACTACTAGTGACTTTAAAAATGTTAATCTTTTCAATCTTTTGTGCACATGTTTGCAAAGCTATGAAGATTTGTTCATTTGTTCAAATGTGTTCATTCACATCAGTAAGCCCTAAAGTAATTCCGAATTTAGAACAGATGTGTCAATATTATCAGCAGTTTGTCGACAGCTGGGGAAGAAAAAGTTTCCTTTGTGAGAGATAAACATACAGATTGACATGCAGCTGCAATGAAAGAAATAACAGATGTAGATCTAATACTGCGTTTAGATTAATTTCAGATCTCAGCATTGCTTTACAGAAGTTTTGAGGGAAATTTGGAGAAAACATATTAGTTTTTTTCATAGATTATTAACTGTTTTCAACAATATTAGTATTTTCAAGTTCTATTTTTGTGATCAAGATGCGTAAAGTAATGATTTTCTTTTAAGTGTTTGACATTGAAATGCTTAAATTTTTGCCCCAGAAGTGCACTAAATTCATAAAGTGACACCAAAACATTTACACCATCATTTTATTATTATTTTACAATCATGCTGGGACCAATGCTTAGCTGATTGAAGAATTATGCTTGAGGTGAGGCAGAATGTTAGACATTGTGTATAACATCAAATTGACAGGACTGGGTGCAAAAAAAAATAGGCTTGTGTTTATTTATTTATTTGTTTGGAGAAATACACTGAAGTGATGAGAATAGTATATCAGCAGCACAATCTGATGGTTTCTGATACTTAATGTTATTCAAATTATTTTGACTGCATCCTGAAAAAACTAAAAGGATTTTCTGTGCTTTATCTTTTGAATAACCCCAAATTTTCACATAAAAAGATTTTTATTTTTTTTTTATTTTATTTTATTGCCAACACAACAAACACAACACTAAACATATTTCTTAATAAGGGTTTCATTTGAATCTCAGCCCCTTGTGGTCAAACTAAGTATTGCAAAAATAAACAATTAAAAAAACTTAACCTGTCAAAGGAAAAATCAAGGCAGACAAATCATCTTTTCCATTTTACCATGAAGGTGAAATGATGGTGCTGGGGGTCAGTATGACCCCAAATGAGGTCAGTGTTGTAAATGATGGATAAGTGGATATCATTATAAATTAAAAACAGGAAAATTGGGGGGGGAAATGGTCAAGAAAAAAATCAGCTTTTGTTGTAGGTGTAAAAATAAAGAGCTTTGAAAGTTATGTTTTGAATTTGGTAATTCAGTTATAAACACAGAGGAAAAACCAAATGGGTCTGACTAAAAACATTTTTCAGAGCTCTATGCCTCGTTGATTTATTTTGGTCAGCTGCTGGCAATATTCCTAAGAGCTGTGACTGACTGTTGGATGCTGTTCTTAAGATTGATGCATATTCATAACAGTCCAAGAAATACTTGCAAACTCTTCGGGCGTTACCATGGAAATCCTCTGCATACTGTATGTGGTGTTGATTACAAACAAGCTCATACGAGGGATTGATTAGAGAAAATGACAATAAAAGAAGTGCGAGTTGAACTCAGAGGCTGATCTGTAAAACAGTGGTTGCTTTGTGCAGCTGTGACGGGATAAGCAGTGCTTACCCCTGCACCACACTTGAATCTCTTTCTCTCTCTGATTTCTTGATATGAATCCAGTCAGTTATTTTTCCTCTCCACGTGATTCAGTCCCTCTCTCCCTCTTTTTGTCCTCTTTCCCTCACTCCTCTCTGTCTCTGTTTACTGTTGGAGGCATGAGCACTGACGGCTCAGATGCAGGGGTCATGGAGGGAGGAGAGTATTCGGTGGGGGGCAGCAATGAAAGCCCCTCTGAAGCTGAGTGTCTGTCGGGGAGAGATGAAGGCCTGACAGGAGCCCACGATGAGCAGATGAGCCCGGACTGCTCAGAGGACATGGAGGACAGCGACTCCGTGGTGTCTGAGCAGCTTGTCTCACCTGGATCCAGAGCGGACATGGCACTGGGCCTGAGCGCTGGTTCGGCGTGGGCTTTGGCTTTTTACGGAGAGGATTGTTTTAGTCCAGAGGTGATCCAGTATGCAGGGAATCTGGGTCAGCACACAGGATCACCATGTGTGGATGTGAAAACACAGGTGAGTTGAAGCTGTGACACTCACTGCCTGTGCGTCATATCTGACCTGACCTGCGGGTGTTACAAAAAAAGAGATCCTCCTCTGCCAGCTCAGTGGACTCTGAATCATGCAGTCCAGCTCTGTCTAGTTCATCTTCCAGTAAATAATGAGAAAGATGTTCAACATGATCAGGTGGGTTACCATTAACTAAATACTTGTTTATGAGAAATAACTAATTATTCTCTGAAAAAGGACATAGATCTACAGTTGTAGATTTCCATCAAAATCATCTCTGAAATATTTCTTTGACAGAAAATGGTTTGTGGTCACATATACAGTTTTTTTCTTTCCAATTATTTTCATATTATATATGCTTAGGCTCCTGAGTGCCTGTTGGACACAGTTTTATTTACCTCGCCTGCTTTTTTAAATTTGAGCTGGAGTTGTTTTCCTGTCTTTATTAAAATATAACAGAATTTCTCTCCCATTGAAAGGAGGTGAAAATGTGTGGGGACTTGAAGATAATTGTTGTTTTATTCTCTCCACACTGGATCTGAATATTAATGTGTTGAACTTAAACCCCCCTGGCAGAGGAAGTTATTATCATTTGTAAAAGAATATTAATGAAAAAGCTCTTTGTAATTATTTGTTTGTACACTCTGATGGCACAGGCGGCGTGTGCAGCAGCTCTCAGCACACCTCAAGAGGCTGGCTGCTGCGACTTCTCACTTCAAAAGAGCTCCTGCGCTCTGTTGCCACGGTGAAGAGCGAAAATAAAACACTGTTCCATGTACAATGGAAAGACCCAAAGGCTTCTTTAGTGAGGAGCATGTGGTGATATTTTAAGACCACTTGTATGATCTGTGTGATGTACTGTATCGGTTTCCAGGAACTGCAGCAGCAGCTCACGATTGAAACAAGGAATCTAAAGAAAACCAGAAATTTCTACCACAAGCTGATTCAGCAGGAGAGGAAAAACAAAGGTAGGTTAGTTTTTGTAAGTGCACCTATCTAGAAATTATAAGCTCAGTGTCCATTAAAGTCTATAAAACTATTATGTGTCCCAAAGGTTCAGATGGCAAACTGATGCTGTCCAAGCTCAAGAGCCAGCTTGAAGAACTGCGATCCAAAGTGATCTTCTTGGATACTGTGAAGAAGTACCTGGAGGTACTGACACACACAACAGTACCAGAATACAGTATAGTTACTTTTGCACCTTTTATTGTCAAGTTTCTTGTGATGTCACATAGTATTTGAGATATCTCCTGTAAGTCGTCCCAGGGTCACGTGTCAACTATCTGCTGCTGTGTACTGAGGCAGAAGCAAAAAAACAGGATTTTAAAATTAAAGTTGTATATGTATGTACGTATATGTATGAGGAATACCAGGGAAACAGTGAGTAAAATGGTACAAGAATCATCATGGGGAGTTATAATTTGGCACAGCTTTTATAAACAGCTGAATGCTTCATCTTTTAGCATATCAACGTCATATCCTTGTGAGCATCAGGATTTTGAAATGAACGTACAGGAAACTGAGTGTGTTCTGAGGAAGGGCGGACCAAAATGACAGCATATAAACCCTTCTGTGACTGCTGTTCGACCCAAGCTCTTAAATTGAACTTCACAAGAAGAACTTCTTGTATCACTATATGTTGTTTTGAAGTAAAGTTTTGACCTTAAACAGATTTATTTTTATTATTCTCCATTATAACTGTGGGCTGATAAGGCAAAAAAAAAAAAAACAGGTATACTTATGTGTGTATATATTTATTCAAATATTGTTTTTTTAAGGATTCACTTATGGGCTTTACAGCCTTTGTTTAGAAAGACAGGGCAGTGGATAGAGGGGGAAATGGGAGGAGCTGCTGGATGGAATCATATGTCCGTCCATACAAGTAGGAATCACGCTTAAACCAGTGACACATGATCTTTTTTTTCTAACCTCCTGAGCCTGTCCTCCAGGTGAAGTAAACTTTGAAGCCCATCTCAGTCTTTTGCATAGTGATTGAGGGTGAGCGCAGACTACATTAAAGCTTTGTGATTGCTCCGCCTGCAGTTTACAACACTTATAGGGAATTATACATTTAATTAAAACTATCTTCCTGTCAATGTGGCTGATGGCACTATGGACCTTAAGAGGGTGACCACAACACAAAAAAGGCATGTCACTGGAATCATAAACACTCCGATGTGATTCCTTGTCTTTTTCAGGTCCTGGGTGTGGACCAGTGGGGTTTGGAGGTTTCATTGCTACCCTCTTTAGCTGTCTGTGGACCAGGCTCTCTGGACCTTCAGTCATCTGAGGAACAATCCGTCCTGAGTTTTGGTAACAGCAAAGGGAAGAGAACTCTGCAAGCAGGGTCTCCTGAAGGTCTTATGGCTTACCTCTACGCCAGGTACGACTGCTGATGTTGAAGTTCAAGGGTCTTCTAGCGGCGTTTATGACATTGAAGCTAAGAAACAAAATGAAAATATCAGAAATGAAATATCAGTTAGTCCAACAGTACATATCAGGTCCCAGCCATAGCACTAGCCACCAAACATATTTTCAGCTTTGCATGATTTCTTTGGCAAAGAGACTAAACACAACTCACCCACTCTCTTCTAGCAGCTGCTTGTTTGTACGGAGACTTTGGGCAAGTCCATTACCAACTGCAGCGGGGTGACGCAGCTCAAGGAAGAACATTTATGATCATTTTTTCACGGAAATGCAATCAGACCGAGACGCTAAGGCAGAAGAACTACCATGTCTGCAGTGTAAAATGATTAATATGGTGATTATCACTTCGAGGAAATGATAAAGAAATGATCATAAATGTTCTTCCTTGAGCTGTGTCACCCCGCTGCGGTAAAATTAATTTTACGCCTGAATATCCCTTTAAGATAGTTTGCAGTGAGTGTTTAGCAGTTGGGATGAAAGCCAATGTCTCTATGGCTGATTCCGTGGCCCCACCCCCAGATGAGTGAGCCGTTACCCCATGGAACGGCTGTAAAGATTGTACACCCCATGATTTAAAGTTACTCATTCCAGGTGAAGGTAAAACAGATAATGAGATTGACAGATATGTTAGGACAGCAGTACTGTTGGCGTTGTTGTCTGCACCGTCAAGGTAAAGAAGGAGCTGAGTCTGAGGATCCAACCTCCTCATAAAATCATAAGCTATGAAAAGTGTCTCAAAGAATGAGATCTCATTTACAAGCAGATGATGAGTTTCCTTCACAGGGTGGTTGGGTTCAGCCAGGGTCAGGAGTAAAGGCACCCACTGCTCCCTCACAAAGAAAGAGGGCAGTTCAGACATCTGATTTTTTTAGCAACTGAGGTCCAGACTGAAACATTTACAGCCTGCAGTGGGTAGATTCTCAGCTGATCTTGTGTGAAGAGCCAAACAGTTTTTTTGATTTTCTTTAGTCCTTTGCTATGCTGTAACTGCTTCCCCTGAAAGCAGCAGTTAAATGTTATTCAAGGCCCTCGGTCAGGACACTCCAGGAGCATCATATGATCACCCCCTCTTATTAAGCACAGTATTAAACCGCTTTATTTGAAGAGTTATTCTTGCTCGCACATTTTCCCTCATATTACAGTCATATATAACTCTTTTATAAGCACTTAAACTGTCTTATTTCTTTTTTCAACTTTTGTGTTTTTCGCTGATTTACCTTTTTTTTTTTGTTGTTTTTTTTTCTTTTCTTTGTGTGATGTATTTTTGCTATCTCGTTTAGAAAATTGCTCTTTATACAAAGTTTTTTTTTTTCTTCCTCTGTTAAAAGTTAAATGTTTTGATTGTTGAACTTTATTTCTTTGCAGAAATGCAGCTGTGGAAGGCTACATCCAGCAGTTCCTCTACACCTACCGTTTCCTCTGCACACCTGAACAGCTGCTGCACTTCATCATGGAAAAGTTCATCAGTGCTGCAAGGTACGTAGAGAAAGCTGCATACAGCTCGGTATAAAGAAAACAAAGTTCGGTAAAAAGGAACACTTTGAATTAAATATATTACTTATTTTACAGACGAGGTGCAGACATGTCAGGAGACAGTGAGAAGATCTTCCATCGCAGTCTGGACCTGCTTCAGTTCTGGGTGATGGACTGCAGACAAGTGGACTTCACATCCAAACCCAGCCTTGTGGAAACCTTAGAAAACTTTCTAAATACAGAGGTAACTACAAAAGCACTGAGTTTGATGGCTTGACAGTGACCTTGAATAATTTTACCGTATAGTTTCTAATATGTGACCACTGTAAATTTTCTGACTGTGTTATCAATCTTCAGGAGAAAACACAAGTAGTTATAAAACGTTATCGTTCTCTTGAATCTCTTCTTTGTTTTATTTCTTCACAGGTGATCCCTGTGGACAGCCGGGGGGAGGCCATACTTGCGGCCCTCCACAGTAAGACTTTAAGCCACGGTAGAGGAAGCCTGACCAGCTTTGAGGATGATGATGATTCTGTGTCTCTGCATTCATCTACTGAGGACCTCGGAAGAAAGGTCAGAATGATAACTCTAAAAGGGAATAAGTGAAATTACAGTGTTTCAAGCGTTGGCTTTTTTAAAATTATTTAAGGGCCTGATAGACACAAAAAGCTCCTCTGGTTTTCTTAAAGCAGCCTTGGGGGTCAGGCTGCCATTAATTTGGGGGGCAGAGGCACCAAATCAAAGTAGGTTCACTAAACTAACGTAATAAGTAGCTGTTCATTAAACTAACTGAACTGAACATTTGAACTGAACATTTGCACTGAAAAAAAAAAAAAAAAAAAAAAAAAGGAAAAAGGACCACATTCAGAAACCTTGTGAAGTGACAGCCTCCATCATCAACTCCATCTTCAGTTCTCTGCTGTTTCATCTCTCTTCTTGGTTTTCTTCTGTGAAAAATACCCCAGATCAAATGGACCAGATTGAAATGACTGCAGTCAGTCTGAAAAAGTCTGAGAGCCCATATTGTTAATATGCAGAGGGGAAATGTGCTAGACCTCAGAGCAACAATTTCATTGAGTGATAACAGACCACTGCAACGGAGTATTTACCAATAAGAATCAAGTATTTATCCCGGTAGTGTTCAGGTGTGATACGATTTATTGAATCATCACCTCAGCACCTTTAACTTTGATGATTTGTTTAGGATGTTTTGGACTGAACTTTAATGTTTTTTTTAGAGCTAGTAAGAAACGCAACAATAATATTTGTACCGGTGATGAAAATGTATTTGTGCTGGGAGAAACAGCTATGTTTGAATCACGAGATGGTCTTCTGGTCATCTCTCCTGTCTTGAATATCTCATTCTTGACCCTCTATAGTGGAGATTCTCCAGAGTAGTGGAGCCCTCCTCAACTCTGCCCAAAGAGAAGACCTTCTCCATCGCCGCCGCCCTCCCTATGCCGTGCTACAGCTCCATATTGGACGACCTCTCTAATGTCTGTCTTCACGGTGAGGAGCGACTCCCATTCAGCCAGAGTGAATACAGCGCCCAGCACATCGCCCAGCAGCTTACCCTCCTGCAGCAGGTACACACTCATACACACTCTGTACACCTGCACCTCAACCTCAGCTCATGTCATTGTTGTCTCTTCCTTCTACCACTAGAGGAAGACATCTGCTTTGAATGCATGTCCAAACTGATACTGTAAACCCTGATTTAGTATTAAATTCTGTAACACAGGAAGTGTTTCAAGGATGTCATCCAGTTCACTTTCTGAACTCCAGAACATTAGGAATCAGGGACAAATCCTCAGCCCTCAACAAGTGAGTATGATGTACATACTTCTTACAGCTGTTACTGCTTTTGTTGTCATGTATTTCACTACCATGTAAATGTTTTAAACAGCAATAAAAAAGTAGAGGGTGTTGATGAGTGGCAGTACGCCTAAGTTTCATTTTTCAAAGCCTCTGTAGCTGCCTGATGGGTAACAACTTATGGAAAGATTGATTAAAACACAAGTAAATGTTGCTGGTAACCCCTTATACTTTTGACCCCAATGAAAAACAAATCTGATTTAAGTTAAAGAAATCATGGATTACTTTTACATCAAATGGAATCAAGTATAAGTAGATCAAACAGGTCTATCAGAGCAGAAACTGGCCTAAGCCTGAATTCTAAATCTGTTACCCTGATGTGAGCTTTTTATATTATTTGTTATGTGTTAAAATCATAGTGTTGTTACCAAAATGTTAATGAAAGCTTAAATAAATGGTTTGCAAATGATTAACTCTATGATGAGTATGAAAACACTTCGTATGTTAACATTGATTTTTTTGATTTTTTTTGCATGGAAAAATATGTTAATTTAATACCAGAAATGGATTTAAAAACAGTCCAAACAAGTACAACGTTTAAAAGAAAACTACCCGGAGGAACAACTCTTTAGATCTTAAAGAGGTTAGTAACCTGAGGGTGAGGCTGAAACTCTCAGGAGTAAAGATGGAAGCAGGGTCATCACTCTATGACAGACCTGAAGGTAAATAGTGAAACAATTCCAGGATAATGTATGTGAGTATAGAATTTAAAAAAAAGGGGGATTTTATCATTTATCTGTAAAAATCTCTGTTCAAAAGGGACCAAGTGGACTGGCCTGTATCTTTCGGCCATGAGGCAGCATTGCAGTGAAAACTCACATGACTCTGTAGCGGAAATCACTGCATGTGCTCATAATCAACCCAAAAACATTGTCGGTGAAGACAGTTTGTCAGTGTATCCCCAAATACATGTTTAAACTGAGCCATGCAAAAAAGAGCCAGAAATCCAGAAATGCGGACAGCTTCCCTGGGCCTGACCTCATTTATAATACAATGCAATGCAAGAACTTTATTGATCCCCTGAGAGAAATTCATTTATGGACTGAGGTGAAGTGGAAACGGTCATGTGTACTGATGAAACACAGTTTGACCTTCTTGTAGGACAAATTGTCCTCCAACTTAAAGAGAAGAGCGACAGTTTGTTCTTGCCGCAGAGTTAAAACCAGCATCTTTGATGGCGTGGGTAGATTTTACATCTGAGAGGGCTCCATTGATGTTAAATAGGATTTGGGGCCACATATCCTTCCATCCAGACAGTGCCTTTTTCAGGGGAGACCTAACTTTTTTCAAGCAAAACAATGCATAACCACAATCCTCAGGTATTTTAACAACATAGCTCTGTAGTAGAAGAGTCCTTGTGCTTGCCCTCTATTAAAAATATTTGGTGCATCATGACACAAATGAAGGAGACCCTTCACTGATGGGGAGAATACCAGGGCAACATTTCTCTTTTGAAACTGCAGTAACTGGTCTCCTTGGTTCCCAATCATTTAAGAGACTGCTGTTAAAGAGTTGATGCGGAGCAATGGTAGACATGCTTCTGCCCTTACTCACTAGTATTGTGTTGCTGGTATTACATTAAAAAAAAGAGCATATATTGTATTTTTCATGCTCATAACTAAAAGAGAAAATTAGAATTTCAGCCCCCCAACCTGTGTAGTAGTTTTTGCTGAAAAATGACTCAAACAATGATATAATTATCATACTCCATTTATTTTTCTTTTGACGTAATAACCTACATGACTATCAGCTAATTAAATCATTCATGTTTCTATAATCTACCAGGAATGTGTCTCAGCATGTTTCACCAGCAGAGGGCGGCACACTACTTGATTGTGAGGGGATGCAGTCACACAGCTTCCTCCAACAGCTGCTCTCATACGCCGACAGTGTCACTAACTGGATCTCCGCTGAAATAGTCATCTGTGACTCAGCCAAGGTGAGAGGACATATGAATCATCAAGGTAACAGAGTCAGCTGAGGGAGATGCGAGTAAGAAGTCTAATTGTTTTTCATTTAAAACACTATTTTAGTGTGTAGTCTGCTCAAACACTAAACGGTTTCTTTGGAGTAATTCTTGCCAAAATATCCCCATTAAATAAAAAAAATTAATTAACACTGCTAAAGTCTTTCAGGCTTTAATTACATTGTTTTCAGTGAGTACAAATTCTGGTTTAGAGATTCACTGAAAGTACTGTAATCATCCTTCTCTGTTTTGGTAGGAAACAACTTCCGAAGCCTCTTAAACTGCTTTTCAGTAACAACCTCAGTACAAAGGAGTAATTTAACAAAAAACCCTTTTTTGAAAAAAACTAATCCCGACATGTTATGGTTAAATCAGGATCAGAAACTAAATAGTCTGTTAATAACTTAGTTTGTTAGTATATCTTTGGCTCAAAGGACAAAAACTTTCCTGTACGCTGAAATATGGAGCTCACTGCCTCGACATCATTAAAGTGTAACATCATCAAAGATATAAAGTATATCGGCCACTTTTTTCAGTGACTGTCCAATGAAATGGTTTTAATAACTGTCAGCAGGACAAGAATCAGATAATACTGACACTTAGCGGATAATAACACAGCGCATTAACCTGCCGTCAACTTTTAAAACCACTTTTATCTTCCACTCTTAAACCCACAGTTCAACTACTTTCAGTCCCAATGATATCGTAATGACACTCAAAAAAGTAAAAGTCTTAAAATCTTTGTAAATTCAATTTCTATCACATCTATGGGATGAAAAAACATGTCACAGTGAAGTTTTAACAGGACTGAGCCTTTAGTTGTGGACATCAGGGTGATAAAAAAGTCACTTTTTCACGTTTTTTGCACTTTAATCTGCATCAGACCAAAACTATTCAGAACTAACATGAGGACCAAAAATGACAGTTATAGAAGTTTATTTAAATGAAAGGTGCTTTAACTTGAACAGTGTTAACCTTTTTTCTGATAATCATCATTGAAGAGATACTCTGAAATCCCCTCATGAGAAAGCAAAACTCATCTCACAAATCTGAAATCACTGCTCAGTTGGCTGACCTGCATTGTCTACCTGCAGACCAAATCACTGGCACATCCTTGTCTATGAGGTAGTTTAGTTTTATTCATACTATTTTGATTAAATTGGTTTGAAAAATGACAAAGGCTACTGTCTTTACCCTGTGATCCAGCCACTGCACCTACTACACCTAAGCTTTCTGTCCTCCGAGTGGATGTTTTGGATGTTTTATTTAAAGCACATTGAAGATTATTTGACAGATGTCCTATGTGATCCAGGATTTGTTGACATGTTTGAAACAGTTAAATGTTGTATGTCTGTATTTTTGTTGGGATGTGCTGCTGCTCATTTTGGCTCGGATAAATAAACGGATAACCTTGTATCAGTCAGTCTGAGACTTTTGAAAGCAAAGTTTCAGCATATCCGTTGGTGCTATCTACCAACTCTAATGCTTCTTCGACTGAGTGTAATATACTATATTTAATCACCTCTTTGTTTCTTCATTTTCTCTTTATCAGAGAGTTTGAACCTTTTACCTGCAGTCTTCTGCAAAGTTTGTTCTACCTCAGTCAAATCCGTATCACATGTAACATCATTGAAGTAAAATAATGAGAAGAATGAACAAAAACAAATGGGTACCAGGAGGATGTGAGAGCCGCGCTCCTTCGAAAGCCTTCAGACCTTACAGATGGACTTTTCAGGCTGGTTGTCGTAAAGACTTCAAAAGGTGCTTCAAATGATTTCAGGGCTCTAACTTTTACTGCATCTCCTCCTCAGCTTCTCATACTTAACAAAGTTTGTCTTTTCACAGTGTGTGTGCCTCTATTTTTGAGTATAATTAATCACTCCTGTGATGAATGGAGCTAATTACATTAACAATGAAAAGTTAAACTTCATTATAAGACCTCCTGCGACCACGGTGAAGTCTGATTAGATTTAAGCTCTTGTAATGATGGCATTCTTCTCCTGTCGTTGAATGCGAACCGTCTTCTCTGTCCTGCAGACACAATCTGCTGTGCTGACCAAGTATCTGTGGATCGGGAAGCACTGCTATGAAGCGAGGAACTTTGCCACCGCCATGCAGGTCCTTGGGGCGCTGGAGAACGTGATTGTCAGGCAATTACCGGTGAGACTGCATCTCATAAGCTCCTCCTCACACTGAATCTGAGTTTCTGTTGTGCGTCTGATACCCTCAAGCTGAGTGTTTTCCATGGCTGTGTGAGAATCAGTCTGTGTTTAATTAGTTTTGAGAAGTAGAAAGTAGAATTAATGCATTCAGATCAGATGGAGGGAGTGTGGAGATATGGTCCATGAGTCACAGTCGTTTAAAACTCTCACAATTAAAAAAAAAAACAGTGCATACATGAGGTATTATGCAAGGTATTTCCATATTTCTGTCCAATGGCAGGGTATATTCATCGAAGTGAGCGCGTAATTAGTTTTAATTTCACTTCCTCTAAATAAAACTCCCTGGTCTTTTGCCAACAGGCTTGGAAACATCTGTCTTCCAAGGTGTGTGAGATCCTGGAGGAGCTTCGAGCTGTGCAGGTGTGTCTCTGCGTGTGTGTGTAGGTGTGTTTGAGCAAGCACTCACGTATGTTGTTTGTAACTGAAGGCTCGGTTGGTCACATATTGTGGAGATGGGCTGCAGGGCAAACAAATCGATAGAAAAACAGCTTCGAGCAAAGCGGACATGTGCAGAAGGCTTACAGCTGGCTCTGCTCCTTAAAGTTTGCCTCTGAAAGATCCTGGTGCTTCAAACTTCAGGCTCTGGTCACCGACTGAGCTGTTATGATGAGAACCATGTCCACTGTAGCTGCTCTTGCTATTTTGGATTCATTGGGAAACCTCCACATGTTTAGTCAGAGCCATAAGTAGCTTTCTCTCTGTCTTAGGTGTTTCTGAAGAGTGATGACCTGTGTCTCATGGGGGGAGAACATTCCAGAAAAAGGCCCACCCTGCCGTCAGCTCACATCCTGGCTATGCACGTCCAGCAGAGAGAGATTGGAGCCTTCACCCTAACCACTGGAGCGTACAAGTGGACCAAGCTCAGGTAAAGAGGGAGGTGGGTCGGATTAGTAAGACGCTGCTATTGATCTGATGTTTGCTCAAAAGTGTTTTGTCTGTTTCATTTCCGCTTTTTATTTCTCGATGGTGAAAGTCATGACTAGAGGCAGGAGATATTTTTGGTTCTCTGTCTATCAAGACTGTTTCATTTATATGAGTGCAATATGCCGGGGCTGCTGTGAGGGGATGGCCTAAGATTTTGCACAAACATCCACATGGACTCCAGGATGTGTGGCTTATAGTAGTCAGATCTCACCCTGACTTTGTTTAGGACTTAAAGACCATAATTTAAGAATTTATGTGTCTTTGGTCAGGGTATGTACGGTCGTAAATAGCAGCATACAGATCAAAAGGATCTGCATAGGATCAAACCACACAGCTTGTCATATATTTTGGTTAAGAAATGCTGTGTATTTTGACATGAATTTTTATTCTTATGTTTCATACAGTCAGGAAAGCTTCAGAGAACATATCCTGATGAAAACATGTCTCAAAGACAATTTTAAAATCATAGAGATTGTTACCAAAACTAGTAATGATCAGTCCCTCCAATAACTATCATTGTGCACCATTTTTTCATCCTTGTGGCCAGTCTCCACAGATTTGCCCTTACACCTTATTTGCCCCTCAGGTTTTGTCAAACATATCACCAACCACACTGATCCTTATAGGTCTGCGGTTTGTGTGAACATTCAAAGGTGATTAGTTTAGCTTAATTCAGTTTAGCGGCATATCTTAGAAAAAAGACAGGAGCAATAAATGTTTAAACATTGTGCAGGGGAGGGTGGAAACCCCAAGAGGCTGATGAAGATGCCTCCCCTCCCCAGGACAGACAAGAGATAAAATAAGCAGCAATGCAGATGAGTTAAAAAGAAGAACAATAACATGGTTACATGTTTACAAGATGAGAAGTTAATTCAAAACTTAGTTGAGTTCGTAAATTTTCCAAAACCTATCAGAAGGATGATCACGACTCTGACTGCAGATCTGCAGAGAGGTTTTGTTTGCTGTGTCTGTCTTTTCATCGGGGGACTGGATTCTATTTTTTTTCTATGAAACAGACAGCTGAAGTTCTCACAGAGCTCTGATGTGATTGTGTTTTTCTTTTCTGTCATGAATAACTCAGAAATAATTTACTGATCTCAGAGGAAAACTCTGTGATGAAATAAGCATCTTTACTCCACTGCCTCAAACTACATGGTGACTTTAGGGAGACTCCATGACTTACATCTATAATAATAACAAATCAGTGCTTGATTTCGTCTGATAACTATTCCTCGAGGTTTTCTTATTTAAAACTGTTCTCTGTTGCTTATCAATTCCTAATGCCTTGTGTTGGATCTTGACCAGTTTACCAAACAGGGGCTGTTTACCAAACTTTCCTCCACTCAGAGGCTCTGTACAGACTGTGAATCAGTGCTGATGTCAAAGGGTTTTGGTGCAGTGCAGATCAGCACCTGATATGACAGATGGAACAGCACAGGCATTCAGATTATGATCTGCTCATTTGGATTAAGTGTACCAAAGGTGGTAATTTATGTCATTTATTCATCAACTATTGCTCTACAGTCACTCATAGTTGATGTGTAGTGCAATACAAGAAACCCTGAAACAATCTGAAACTGCATCACAACTTGGTCCACTAGAAATATGCCACACTGCGGGGCATCTGACATAAGAACTCGACCCAAGATATCTTTTGGGATGGTTCAGCATTATTATTTTAGTTAAATAATGAATTTTACACAATGTGGTCAGTGGTTGTATATTGTAAACTAACATTAGCCATGTTTACATGTGCAAAATTTCTTGATCCGATTAAAAATTTGAGGGATCAGATAATCTGAATCCACTGTTCATATGGGTGCAAAGTCAAATAATCCGATCGTGACGTGCGTATACATGCACCAAGCTTTATTCAGATTAGAAGCATTTGGACATGCACAGAGTTGTCCGATTTCGCCAAAACAACCGCAGAAGAAGAGTTGTATTTACGCCTGTGCGGTCAACAAACCAACAAACACTGTAGTGGCTCACTCCATTCAATTCAGGAGTTTTCCCCCTGTTAAATGTTGTCACTAGATGGCGCCCTTGCATACTTATTCTACTGTTCTGTCAAGGTTGCACTGTGCGCACAGATGTATCATCATTACGCTGTATAAACGCCTTGTTATGTTATCAAAGGAGCAGACACGGCACCTGCGGTTGTGTTTTATACCAGAGTGTTAATAATGAAACCTCCTGAACTGACCTCAATAAATAAGCCAAAGGCTAAAGAGTGAAGATCGAGTCAGGTAAGAGAGTCACGATCAGAATAAGTGTTTACATGGGCGCATTTCAGAATAACGATTGGCATAAACCACCCCTCTTGATTTGTTGTGCCCATGTAAAGACAGCTATTGATTTATATCAGCAAAATTATGAACTTGACTCGAGCGGTTCATCCAAATGCCAAAGATCATCTTGTTTGCACTGTGATGCTTTCACCTGTTTTGGAACTCTTGTTCCTCATTATGAGCGCAATTCCTGCTGGTTTATTTGATTCTTAAAGCTCCAGTGAGGAACTTTTATTTGCATCAGTTTTGGCGCCCTCTTGAGGACACTGAAGTAGCTCATATATCTATGCAGATCTTGCCCTGTGTAATATCATAGGTCTCATGAAACACTTAACTCTCTGTGAATCTTTTCAATGGAAACAAAAGCTTTGTGGTGTTTAGTGCGCTGCTACCAAATTCATCTGACGCTTGCACCCTTGCAGGAGTTATAAGCATTAAAAAAACATCATATGAGAATGATCACTTGGGTTGCCAATGGTCTTGTTTGTATTTGTAGGTCGTAAAGAGGCATCAAAATTAATTTGAGTCTTTTCATAACCAGCTAAAAACCCCTCACAGGAACTTTAACATCAGTTTCATTTGAGCATGAAAACAAACATTTAATGACCTGAAAAGGCATCGTTCATCTACAGAGGGTGGAAAAAGTTTGGTTGGAAACTTTCTGCTCCAGAGTGAAATTAAAGAAGTCAGTAAAAAAAATCCTGCAGTGAAACAATATAACTACATTAAAATTTCAAATAGGTCTCCGCTGTGCAATCCAATAAATATCATCAGGCTCACAGCTTTATTGCCACTCTCACACGCCTTTCTTTATGATACTGTATCATATTTCCATCCAGGAAAGCACATCATCCTGAACATAAACCTGCTGGAAGAGTTTTTCTATGTCTGTAAGAGGCTTTCATTCCTGGCTGCTGCTTTCTTTGATTAGTCTAAAACTTTGTTAACTTGTGGAAAAACTTTGTTTCTCAGATGGACAGAAAGTTTGCAGAGCATTGCCTTTTTTTTCTGAGACACAAAATTTGCTCAACTGCATATTAATCTTCCTCCTTTACTTTGAAGATAACAACAGTTTTAATCTCATAAATTAAAGTTTTGACGTTAAACGTCCGCCGATTAACTTGTTTCCATGATAAAGATCAGATGATGACAAATTCATGTTTGATCTCTCCTGCTTATGCCCTTGATGAACTTGCATCACTGTCTCATTTTAGGCCTACATCAGTGATTATATTTGGTACGCTAGTTTTGTTGTTATGAGCAGCTCTACAGCGTCACAGATGCAGCTGAGAGTGCAGTGAACTTGAAATCCATCCAGGGGCGTTTCTTGGGTTGGAGGACTTTAGGAGCTGAGCCACATTTCTTCAACTGAAACTTGATTAAACAGTATCTACTTTTTGTGACCCAATACTATAATAATATGTTCTGAGTATACCAAAATATTGTGACTTTTGATTGAATGTACTTAACTAGAATATTTTTACTTTTAGTCAACTAAAGTAAAATGTTTAGATTTTTTATATATAATTATATGATTTATATGATTTATATACTGAACTAAATAAGAAAATATTGACTTTTTGTCTACTGTGCTAAAATGTTTTGACTTTTTCATTGACTAAATTTCACTAAATACTTTTGAATTCTTGTTATTTAATTGAACTTCAGTATTTTGACTTTTACCCACTTAAAATGATTTGACTTTTCCTTGACTTCAACTTCACCAAAATTTTGACTTTTGATGGAATTACACTTGACTAATAAATTATGACTTTTTACCATCTAAGGTAAACTAAAATGTTTTGACTTTCCTGGACTTAAACTAGACAGAGGTTTATTGACTTTTCGTGAACTTTAACCAGACTAAATAGTTTTGACTTTTTATTTATTTGAACCGGACCAGAATTTTTTGGTTTTTGTTGACTGAAACGAGACAAACATGTATTGACTTTTCATCTACTGACCCTTAAATAAGAAATTCTTACCTTTAGTTTACTGAAACTAGACAATAGTTTTGACTTTTAAGGACTTACAATTTTGCTAAAGGCACTGTGAGCTGCACTGTGTGTTTTAACAGGTTGAGATACAAATTTAAACTCATACTGATGACTCCTTTTTTCAAGCAAACAAATCCGTCAGCAACGGAACTGATCATCTTTTCTGTTATAAAGTCTGATGCACTAAACCGATGTGAGGAATTAGGTGTCAGACCAAATGACTGACAGCAGGCTGAAGAAATAACCTTTTTGAATTTTTCCCATGGCAAGTTCAGAAAAAAGATAACGGGTATCTCTGTGTCCACAGGGGGAAACAAAATTAACACAAACTAGAAGTTCTTCACAGAACCTGCAAAGGCGAGATGTTGATGAAAAAAAACATACAGCCTATGAAACAAGCTAGAGAGCTCTCCCTCTTAAGACTCCATATAAAAACAGCAAGTGTCATTTACTGATAATTAGCTCTCTGCCCACATCCAAAATATCCATCTATGACAAAGTCGGCCAACTCTCTATGAGGAGTTTTTCCTGTGTCCTTCTCCTCCTCTCCAATATGGCTGACCAGATGCTGGGGTCAAATGGAGAGGTGGAGGGATTGAGATGGCACAGCTGTTGGATTTGGGTTGTCAGTAGGGGTGCCAGTGGTGCACCAGATGGAGCCTGTGGGATGGAGTTTGATTGGAAACGAGGTTTTGGGCCAGATGCTGAGAGGCCACTGGTTGCAGCCAGATGCTGGGGTCAAGAGATGTAGCAGAGAGAAGCAGAGACACAGCTGGTTACCGTGGACCTGAGGTTACCCTCACTCTCTCCAAATCAGGTCAAAGCTGGTGAGGCAGATCGGAGGAAGGCTCGAGCCTGATATTCAGCAGAATAAAAATGAATTTTCACTCTTTTTCTGTTCTGTGTCCCTATTTCATGTCACTCCCCCCCTCCTATCCATCCATCTATGGCCAAAGGAGCATAGCAAAGGTTGTGAGTCAGATCCATGCCTTCCAGGAGGCTGCGTGCCCCTACAACCCAGATCAGGAGCTGCAGGCTTACCTACGGAGCCGCATCGCTCGGTTCGCCGCCTCTGACATCCACCTCTTGGCCGCGGACAATGGTGCCAACTTTCAGCAAACCAGTGAACGACAAACCCGGAGGATCCAGGACACACTAAGGAGGGTTAAGGCCACTTTCCAATGAGTTCAGACCGGGTCAGACCTCACAATCCAGAGCCAGACACCACCACCGGGTCAACACCCCCATGATTAAGCTCAGACTCATAAAACTCAGACAGCTCTGTTGAACTGGCAACTGAACTTTTCCACTTTCTGCCAAAGATTTCTTCAAATTATTTATAATATCAGTTTGGTACGATGACCCTGAAGGTCAACTGCACAAACATCTTATGATTACAGAAAAGGATTTCATTAACATTTCACTAAACATGCAAACAAACAAAAAAGTCCAATGTAGTCCAATCACTTAGTCACAGATAAGAGGCAGAGCTCCTGAAATCTGATTGGTCACTCTAATTTTCAATGTTGGGTAAAAAGCCAACCATGACTCAGGATTTCAACTATCTGGTTGTGTTTAACAGGCCATAATTGGTTTCTATCATTTCACTGAGGGATGTTTCATTTGTTGGTAGGCCCACTTTTAATATTGACCTTCTGTAAACATCTTCTTTTTGGGTTTTTAAAGAATCAAGTTCAGAAGACTTGAACGTTGTCACTCAGCTGAGTTACCAATCAAACTTGGAAGTTACTTACAAGAACATTATAAATTCTGGATTCGTTTATACTAGCAGTTGAAATGTGGATAATTAATGGAGATAGCCCTCCAAGATTTGGGGTAAAGCCATGATGTTTTCCACACCTGGCCACCCTTCAAAAGTCAGTGCCTTAGTTGGGCCACCCCAGACAATAAGTTTGACTCCACCACTGCTACAAATTCATTCTTATCTTATGAAATTATAATTTTTTAATCCTGAAAAATGTTTCTAATACTTTTATTGTTGCATAAAATAGTTTTCAGTTTTGAGAAATATTTGCATTAAAACCTGTGGGGTGGGGGGTTAAGTGTGGTGCTTTTGGTGTTTAATGAAATGTTTTTTGAGGTCATGAAATGTTTGTGCAGTTGGCCCCCTGGACCATCACAGTTTTCACCCCAGACAGACTTTCCTAAAAGCTCCCTCTCCTGGGATCAAACCTTGAGTCTCTACTCGTGAATCTATTCTTTTGAAAGTGTTTCCTGTCAGTGAAGATAATTCCCTTACAAAGTTTCATACCCTTACATTTTCTAACAATATTTGTCATTGTCTGTGTACTACAGCTGTTCAGGCCTCTGTCCAGAGAACAAAAAGGATGTTAAAAACTAAGCCTGGAATACCTACATGGATATTTAAGGGTCAACAAAAGCCATTGTTTCAGTGCAGCAATGTGGAAATGGGAAAAACTTCAACTGTGTTTGGGAATCAGCACCACAGAAGCACAAAGTCGGCTGACACTGTGGCGGCCTTCATGCCGAACTCTGCTTTCTGTGGTCAGCATGTTGCTCAGTTTATTCCTCTGGGCCTGACTGGAATAACTGAACAACTATCACACTTGTTGTTGTAAAATGTTTTCACCGTCCTTTGAGGATGAATCCTGCTTTCTTTTGTCTTTTCTTCTTGCTCTAGAGTCACACCTTGATTCCATCTGAGTTGTACCCTCTAGAGATGATCAGACCCTCTCTTGTCAGTGCTTGAGTTTCCACAAGGAGCAGTACAGTCCCAGCAGGGTCCCTCAGGTACATGACAAGTCTGTTTCAAGTGTCAGGATTAACCCAGCAGAACAAATTTTCCCTCCTCCTGTGGAAGTCAGACACAGGAGCGTCAGAGAGCATCAGCCCTAGGGGGGCGAGTTTGGTCCAGTCATCAAATTACATGCCCCATATACAGAGGCTTTAAGCAAGAGACTTGGGTTCAATTCTGATGCACAACCTATTGTCACTTGCCCACTCAGACTATTTATCATCGTAACCTCGATTCATGTTCAGCCAGACATAATATGGACTCCTCTGTTTGTATTGACTGTATACCTGGAAATACAGTAATGATACAAAGCTTATTATTGTATGACACAGGATTTTACAGCATAGGATGATACAAGATACAACATATTCAACCTCCTGTTATTAGCTCCTGCTGGAGTAATCTGCTGCAGAGCATCAAATCTTGATGTTAGCATTAATGATGTTGCCTTTTTCTGAAGTCTGCATCCCTTTTGACTTTGAATAGAAGCTAGCAGCTATGGGTTATGACAGTGTTTTGATGCTTTTACCACCATTGATGCTAGTCTCAATTTAATAATTATTGAAAAAGAGATTTGGATTGTCAGAGCTTAACTTGGCATGAAATTATTAGAAAAGCTAACCATTGCTGACTTGCAAGGTGTTTTTCGCTGTTTTTTTTTTTTTTTTGACAATGGCTGCAGTTAAGATGGGTGTCCCTGAAATTTTGAGATCAAACTTGGTGCCGTTTCAGCAGAGACATACTGTGCATTTGATAAAGAAACCCCTCAGACTACATGCTTTTGTAACAGCAAGTTAATCCAGCGATGTTAAACATTAAAATTAGTCATTAGTTTTTAATGATCAGCACGGAAAGTGAGTCACACTGAAAGTGTGTTTTACTCTTTGAGCTGTTAACTGACAGTATACCTTTGTTTCCCCTGTCATCTGAGATCGCTGTTGTTAATTTGATGTTTTTAATAACCTTTATGGGAACAGATTGATAAATTAATTGAATATTTACTCTTGTTTTCATATTATAGAGTGAAATATTTGTATCTATAAGCTGAGGTGTGTCCTGCAAGCTTGTTGTCAACACTTCACCCTAACACAGAGAGATGAACATAATGAGATTTCAGTGTGTGAAATATAACGTGAGGAATAATGTTCATTCAGTGTATATTTTTCTATTTCCCCTCTCGCTCTGTCTCCTCCACACTCTTCTGCCATGAACCACAGCATGAAGATGGAAGCTGACGTGCTGTGAGGATTTGCTTAATTTAGCCAAATAAATGAGATTTTATAAGCCCTGTCTTGCCAAAGCTTATTACTGTCAGAGCATCACTGTGATGGGATGGTTGTGCAGAGGGTTACAGGGCCTGTTGGAGATGAGGGATGAGGCAAGCAGAGCTGAAACTGCTCCTCCTCTCCTCTTGGAGAGACTTAAGTGGAAGGTAAGAACTTCAGAAGTGCTTTCTTGCTATTTAATGTACTAAGACTAAGATTCGCTTTGGTAGAACAGTTGTATCGTATCAACACAGGGGAAAGTTAGACTTTGTATTAGTTTCCTTCGTATGACCCTGTCAAACTGAACCCCTTTGCTGAGACATTTCCTTATTTCTTGCACTCCAAGAGAATTTTCAGTTGCATTTTACCTTTCTTCAAGAGAGACTGGGAATTTGAGGAGTTGAATATTGGGAATGGCATACAGCAAAGGGCCATGATCTGCAGTCTAACCAGTGACTTCTGCTGTGGGACTGTATCTTCAGTATTCAAATTACAAAGAACTAGTTCCAGATGAGGTATTACCTCCAAATCCAATACCAACTTTAGAAAAGAGGAAGAAACCTGGCCCATAGACACTGAGCTTCAGTGGCACCCTGGTGTTCCCAATCTGCTGTGAACAGGTGTGGCAGGTTTTGGAGTAAAACTGGTGAGATTTAGAGGTGAAATATTTATTACTCAGGAATTCATGGGGCCACAAGAGCCACACTGAAATAAAAAAGGTGTGGCAACAGAGGCCTAAAAAACATATTTAGAATAAAGAATCTTTCACTTTTTGAGTGAATTTAGGGTGGCATTGGGTAACACTTTACAACAATAACTACAACCATAACTTACAAAATGGTTAAGTGACCATTTATAAATGGTAAGCAGATAGTTTATTAATGTTTAATCATCATTTATAAATAGCATATAGACTATTAATACTTTGTACATTTTACAATTTTAAAAACCTAACCCTGTTTAAAATGACCATCTAAGTAATGTTTATAGGTGGTTTATAAACCACTTATTAATCATTTATAAAGTATTACAAACATCACCTGCAACTCTACAATAACCATCTAAGTAATGTTTATAGATGGTTTCAAAACCAAATATTTACCATTTACAAAGTGCTACTGACACACATTTTAATCTAGATGTTTTACAACCAATATTTAAACCCTATATAAACCTTTAATAAATAATCCATTAATAATTGATGAAAAGCATTAATCATAATTTAATTGCTTGTTAATGGTAAAGTAACTCTAAACTTACATTAATAAACTATTTGCTAGTTATAATTGGTCTGATTTTTTTTTTATCTAAATGATGATTAGACAGTAATAAACTATTTATTTACCATTTATTAATTATGGTTATTGGCATGGTTACTCATACTACGACAAATTAAAATCACTTTTGCATGTAGATAAATTTTAAATCATTATTACTCCCCGATTATAATACAGTCACTTCGCAGACATTCAGACAGACGGGGTCGCAGACAGATGGAGCTCCTGCAGCAGACAGAGGTGATGTGAGGAAATGGACTCAGTGTGAAGGCGACGTACCGCGCACTCTCCATTGTTATCAAATGGGATCAGGGAGCATCTTCAAAGCTCCACAGATAAAGAGCTTCAACAGACTGAAGGGGCTGATCACCGATAAACGAGACAAGCAGGCTCAGCTTCTTATCTGTTCTGTCGTATAACTTAAACGTCGCTTTGCAGGCATTGTCCCCGAGCTGCTGCACGCGAAGGTCCCACAGGTCGCGGGGAGTACTGGTACATCTTCATTTGTGTGGAGCTCATAAATCCTGGTGCGTTGCTGTAAATCAACGTATTAGACAAAGGGGACTGGACAGATACAAAATCTGACCCCCACCTCAATATTGCAGCCGTTCCATATGATAAGAGGACCTTTTCGGTCTTTACCTCTCAAATAGTTGTTATTTTCACCCACTCAATGTGCCCTTTCTGAAAACAAAGACCACTCCTGGGAAATGTTCTATTTTTCTCAAAGGGGCTTTGGTCCTTTATTCAAACAATCGACGGTTAATGGTCGATTTATTGGCCGATATCGGAGCCTTTGGTGTGTGAAGCACCCTATTGAAGGATTAGCTGACGTATCAATGGGTGGCTTGTTGGTCTTCCTCACAGCTTGTTTTGGTATATTAACATGTGAAGGAGCGACAATCGGCAGTAATTGTGTTGCTACTGTGAAGCCTTTGATGTGAGATGTTTGGAAGGCTGTGCCAAACGCTGGCGCCAGTGCGCACCAGGGAATCAAACACAAGTCAACACCCGACCCACCAGCTCTGTGTTTCACTCTAAGTTTAACCACTGTTTGGAAGAAAACGATATTAAACCAGGCTGATCATTTTATCTCTCCTTTGACTGATTATCGATCGATTCAAATGAGTCTGCCCTAGTCCGTTTATTGTATTTTGTTTCATTTTTATATTTAGTTCTTGGTATTGTCGCCCCTTTTTGCTATTGTTAGTTTGTGTCAGTTTAATTTCTTTAATTTCAGTTTAATTTTTTGAAATAAAACTTAACTCTGAACTCTGGAGAAAAACAAGAATTATCAGACAAAAAAGAGAGAAAGGGCAAAAAACGTTCAGGTTTTGCTCAGAGTTCAGTCAGACCATTCTATGATACAAATCAAATAATGAAGAAATCAAGTCAAACTTTTAATCACAGTTTGAACGATTAGTCTGATTAGGGTCCGATTTTTTTGTACAGTTGAATGTTTGAGAGAGAATTCCAGATTTAAACATTAAGCACTGAGTTTGAGGGAAATAATCTGAATAAAATAAGAACAAAAACAGCCTGGTTGTTCTGTAAAATGAATTCCTGTAAATTAAATAAACGCCTTATTTCAGGTAGCTTTTTTGGTCACTCCCTGATGTCTTGTAAAAAAATATTGTCTACTTCTTTTTATGGCTGTAGAAAGTGAAGCAAATACTTGTCAATGTAGGATCTAACTTACTCTAAATCCAAATGACCACTTTTTGAGAAGAAAAGTAACTAAAAACTTTTCCAGTCAGACTTACCTACACCTACACTTCCCCACAGGACAGGCCCCATTAGCTTGTATACATACTTTTAACGGATGAAAATGAAATCAATGGGAAAAAAGGAGCAATGCAAGTAGAAAAAATCTGTTAGCGAGGAAATAAGCTTAAAAAACTATGCCAAGTGGTTATGACAAACTAAACTCATTAAAATTCATCATCATTTGAATTCTTAGTCTGCTGTTGGGTTTAATGTAAGGCATTTATAAGGTTTGTGCCTCACGGGTTTTAGTGGTGCAGAGTTATAAGAAACTTAAAGATCCTAAAGGGAAAGTCCTCCTGTTTTATCTTGTCACACCACTATGCCTATTCCACACAGTGTATTATCATACAAAATCCTAGACTGAATGGTAATAGATCTTATTAGTGATCCTCAGACGCTGAAAATCTCATTATAAATCTGAGTCGCGCTATCTTGGGTGGCACCTTTCCACCTTTCTGAGCTACTGTATGCATCATGAAAGTCTCCAGGAGCTGCAGCTGTGTCTGCAGGCTTTCAGTTTCTGTCGGGGCGGACAAATGCATGAGCTCAGGACAGTTCTCACAGACTCAGTGGCGCCAGGTCTTCACACACTCTTACAGGATATGTAAAGGCTTCAATAACGAGCCATTAACCCCTAATCATCTGGATCGATCAGGCGTTAACAAGGCCCTTCACATATGCAAATCACACCCTGGGCCAAGGACTCATATAGACAGACCCTGCCCGTGTGGGCACAGACACTCTCCTCTAAGAGCAACAGAACACTACACAGCACTGACAGCATGGTGAAGTACTTCTCTGCAGAGTGGATGGCCCAGAGCGACCACGACTCCGCGCTTTCCAGGGAATCCAGGACTGAAGCAGCTCCGAGCAGCAGACCTCACATCCCCTGCATGGTGCAGCCTTGCGCACCGACACTTGGAAAGAGCCAGCTACAGCCTAAACCGAAGATCTTCAGACCCGTCATGGACCTACCGAGCAGCAGACTCACAGAGACATGTGAGACGGCCTCACCTCCGCGTCCAGATGTCTGCGCTTCGCCGAGTAAGTATAACTACAACTTGAGAAAGTGTAAGAGCTTTGGATCAATGTAGGCCAAACGGCTAAAATGCAACGGCTGTGTCCTAACCGAAAATGTTTTATTCCAGTTTCAGAGGCGAGCGGGTACTCCTCAGGTTATGAGAGTGAAGCGGCCTCCATCGAGTTTCCCCCGGTGGAGAGGAGCACGGTAGTTGGCAAGCTCAGACCAAGGCATCATCTGCGCTCAAAGTTTACTGCCGAGCAGACAAGCGAACTGGAAAAGATTTTTTCCAAGACCAGATACCTGGAGGCAGAACTGAGAGAGAAAACTGCGCAGACACTTCACCTCACAGAGACTCAGGTAAGCCAAGGTCCCAGCCTTTAAACAAATGTTGTGCTAACAATAAACCAGTACATATAAGCCTCGAGTTTGCACATGTAGTGACCTTATCTTGTCATTTTACAGGTGAAGACATGGTTTCAGAACAGAAGAATGAAGCTCAAACGGGAGGTCCCGGCGTGCCTCATCCCAGAACTTCACCGCCGCGCTATCAGGTCTCCTTACCCAAGCATGCCAAGAAGGTTTCCCCAGAACCTTGTCACTGGCCCGGCTCTCCACCCCTATCCTGTCACGCAGCTGGTCCTTCAGCCCCAGATGGCCCCACATCGCCTTACACATCAGGCCCTCCACAGCCATCGTTTCTACTGAAGCGCTGCAAAACAGAGACTTTGAAACCCGACTTGAACACTTAAAAAAACAGAAGAGTGCAATTCAGTGTGTATTTGCTGTGTAAATTGTGAAGCCTTTAATCGTTGTAGATACTTTGCATGAGAGTTTATTTTTTTACCAAATAAAGTTTACCGTCTACTCAAACTTCTGTCCCCGCGTTTGCTTTGAAAGAAACTGCCTTTATTGAAACAAGCATTGACCATTTTAGAGATAACACTGATGACTTATATCGATCTTTATTGCAAGATTAGTTCAGCATGAATACATCATCCAGTGTCTTATTTCAGTGGGGGAGGTTTACTGAAGACTGGGTCAAGATTGGAGTTGTCCATTACATTAAAGGATCTTATCAGCACGTATCTTGTGCGTGGCTCCTGCTTTGGTTTGTTGCGTCGGAAAGATTGCAAGTCCCAGGGCAGTCACACAATCTAGACAACCAAAATGAAATCAGTGTGGATAATACAGCTCATACCTGAGCCACCATTGCAACACAGAGATCTCGTGAGTTAGTGCTGCTGTCCCTGAGCCGCCACAGAGGAGCATTTGCACTTCAAACGTGAGCTGACGGACAGATCATGGCCAACAATTAGTCCTAATTAATCCGCCCATTGATGAGTTTACATTTTCAGCAGGAGACCCTCCGGCCTGGCTCCAGAGAGTCTAGAGCATTGTGTGTGTTCCCACCTGAGCTGGAGGCTTACCGAGTTATGCTGATGCACAAAAGGAAATTTGGCAGGGAGAAATAAACAAAAGTCTACTTTAAATGTCATCTCGCTTCTGATAAATCTCCATTCTCGCAAGACAAGGGTCCCTCAGTTGTTTTGTCTTCAGCAAATGTCCCATTCAAATCGGTCAATAAAGATCAAACGGTACTTTCACGCTTTCTGTGGGGTCACACCCACTCCCACCAAAACAAAAGGCCTCATCAGAGGACGGCCTGATGCCTAGACAGCTGGGCGCGTCTGAACCAAAACAAGGACCATACAGTCCTCCTGGAGACTTTTCAATCTAGGGGAAACTTGGATCAAGAGTTCCAGAAACTTATTTTGCCATAGCATATCGTTACGCCCCATCCAAAGGCGGCCTTATAGCGCTAAAAACTATCCTCACATCTTGACTCATACAAATAACAAAATACCAAAAGAACAGATTAACTTAACACAAAGGCCCCACAACACAAATGAGAGGCAGCAGGACAGCAGTTACCCACCAAATGCCTCTGCAAACTGCAGGCAGCTCTAAGCCTTAAAATTCTCAGCACCAGGTGAGTTTGGTTGTAACTTACTGACTTCACCTGGGCAGTTCGGTAGACAAAATGGGAAAAACACATGCAAACCTACCGCCGTAACAATATGTCTATGAGTTAAGTAATTTAATGGGCTCTGAAGCCTGCATTATGTGGCGGATATCTCCTTGGATCACTTCATATAGAGCTCAATTAGTCTGATCTGACAGGTAACTGATACTCAGACTCACTGGCGCCCTAGACGTGAGAAAACGCACAGCCCAGCCTCTATTAACTGCAATTACAACCACCATCTAGTTTCTATCGTTCCGCTGACATCTCTTTGCATATGCAAATAAGGACGATCGTCTCCCCTATAAAGCAACCACAGGCCAAGGATCGCAAACACTGAGACCTGGGAGACAACATGGCAAACTTCTCTGTGGAGTGGCTGTCCAGAAGCTACTACGAGGAGGTTGCACTTGGGACCAAAGCAACTGAGCCTCACTCCAAAGTCCACGGAGCAAATAAGGACTTTACAGAGGACACTTCTCTAACACCGACAAACAGTAAGTTTGCTGATCATCTGTTTATTTTACCTGATGCCCACAATTCACTGCGCATTTAATGATTCTGACTTCATTCATTAAAACTTTGGTCGTCCTTGCAGATAGTTGCTGTGACACGTCTGGCTCAGAGAGCGAGGACAGCGAGGGAGAGGCCTCTCAACGCCGCAGGATAAGGACTAAGTTCACCATCGAGCAGATCAGCGAACTGGAGAAAATCTTCAGCAAGCACAAATACTTGGGTGCTGAGCAGAGGAGAAAGACAGCAAAAAGACTGAGACTGTCAGAAACTCAGGTGAGTTTTCATCACACAGACCGGTAGAGTTGTGTTCATAACAGCATAAATGTTCACTTAGAATGAAGTTCAATTGTTAAAACACTTTCTTGTGCCTCTTAGGTAAAAACCTGGTTCCAAAACCGGAGAATGAAGCTGAAGCGGGAGGTCCAAGATCTCCAACCGAAGTTCCTCCCTCTCCCGGCCTCCGTGCTGCCTCCTCTGTTGTTTCAGCACCACGGGCCGAGTGGACAGCTCTCCACCGGCAGTGGCTTCTACCCGCAGCCGCTACACAGAGCGAGATACCCGGCTGCTCTGCACCAGTTCAGCGGCCCCCCGGTCATCATGCCCCAACATTTTTATTGAACTCTGACACCATCCAGAAAAAAGTTTATGTCTAGAATCTAGACATTATTTCTCTTTCTCTCTCAAAGAGTGGATCTTAATTTATATGTGTGTGTTTTAAAGCACTAGATTAATGTATTGTACTGATGTTTTCAGCGTTAAATAAAGCTGTTTAACCGATCAAAAGCTATGTATTTATTCATTCGTCTCTTCTACACTTTATTTCATGTTTAAGAGCAGAAGTTTGAGCAATCTGAAGGGGGTGGTTGAAGGCGATAATGGGTTCCTATGGATTTGAATATTTTTGTTACTTGGGTTAAAGTGAGACAAAATCCATCTGATAATCACCAAAACCCAGAATAACGCATTTTATGTCATGCGTGAATATATTTCCTGTCTGCTGGTTTGACATTATGGGTGAATAGAACACATACTTGTCGCTAAAACTGTTCTCATGCTGTCTGGGGTTGTGCATTTTGTGCTCACTGATAGACTTTTTCCAATTGTCGTCATATAAGTGACAAATGTTTACTCTTTGCTCGTCGTCACGCGACAGCTTGTTCTGAAACTTTTTCAGAGTTACATTTAAAGTTTATAAGGAAACACGTTTTAATACGCAGGGGTATATCGAGACAGAGCGGTATACATGCCTATCCCGTTTTTAGTCTACTTCCAATTGTTACTTCATTGGTGTTCACTGTACCATATTGTATTTTAGGAGTGTTCTTCATGTAACCCCACAGTGGAAAAAGTGATCACAGTCATTAGATCAGTTTAATACGCAGAAATATAAACCGGTCTATCTCAGTCCCTACAGCTGAGTACAGGGGCAGAGATGAGACTCCATGCCTGCGTCGGCTGCAGGCAAATATTTTCATTTGTTGTCCGGTGGCAGCGCTCCCAGCTGTGCTCGCTATCTGCTTTGTTGTAGATTTGCATCTTCAAAGGAACATCAAAGCGGAGCTAACTGCTGGATCATTGAGATCCATTGAGCTCTATTGTCTCCACAGTGAACCGTTCACACTTACCTGAGAGACGCTGAGGGATGGCGCCCTGAAGTCTGCCTGAGGTGTATCTTTCCTCACTTAAGAGTCATTAAGTGACTCTGACTATGAGGTTAACTGATTGAGTCACTCTGTCATAAATGAGTGTTCTTCTCTTATGATTAGCAAATAGGATCAGAGAGGAAGTCTCTGATTCAGGCTCCTGCTGCTTTCCAGGCTCTGATATAGGCATATACTGTGCTAATCAGAGCAGCTTTCTGGTCTGTAGTCTTTCAAACTTGTTTTAAAGGAATGCTATGAAAACAGGCTGTGCAGCAAAAAGTAGGTTACTCTAATGAGCATCACAATGGTATGGAGTACAAGTGGTAACATATGGATAGGCAATTAATGAAATTAAGAGGAGACAAATATCAGTACTGTCCAATCTGCCCTGTTTAGTTACAGTTCTCATAGATAAGAAGTGATTGATCATTTATGATCAAACAAAGATTATTATCCTTTAACACTCTTTGTACTCTTTCTCTACAACTGTTTGTGACTGTGAAGGTTTTGATGTGTATATCCATCCTTGCTTAAGGTTTATATATTTGTTGTTTGTGTTCTCTGAACATAAAGACAAATGTTTTACCGTGGAATCATTCTGTGGAAAAGTCACCCCTATCCTTTCAAGCAGGCAGCATGGGGATAAGCATGTGCGGAGTGACTGTCATGTGTCCAAATGGTTTTTGTAAGAGTTATATTACTTAATGTGTAAAAAAGTTATGGACTGCTGGTTCAGAACCATCAGACAGCAGCTGGTATAAGAAGGTTGAACATTCTCAGGTAGCACTCATATTAGTCGCTGATACTTTATTGGACATTAATAACCATTACTGGTGATCTGTAACATAAAAATTGGTCAAAAAATGACCAATGACCAATAGCGAAACCTCTAAAGAAAACACTTAATCTATTAAAAGTGTCTGCTTTAAAACTGAGAAAGTCAAAGTTAGTACACTGATTCAGTAGAAATCCTCAACTATAAACACCTTTTGAATGATATGTGACACTTAAATTCTGTCAGCGGTCACAATTTTGTTAAGTGGATTAAAAATGAACTGTTGTATGGCCTCATTCGCTTTTTGTAAGTGAGTTTTTATTGTTTGTTTATTGTTTATTTCTTTATTTCGGTCACTTATTTCAAAATTTGAATACAATCAAAAACACTAAATGAAACCAGACCGAAAAGGTATTGGCTGAAGCATAGCTTATTACGCCTACCCTATTCAACTCGCTACAGTCAGCTCCTTACTGAGCGCCAAACATGAGGACAACAGAGAAAAAAAAGAAAATTAAACAGATAAGCCGAAAAAGAAAAACATGAATATACCTTTACATGGACCTATTAGGCTATTATATTTCCAAAAGACAATTTACACAAACACAAATACTTAACCAGTTATACAGTTATACTTACTGAGCAACCTATTTTTTAATATTTTCCTAAATAATTTATATGTACTGCACTCCTTAATGTCCATTTCCAAAGAATTCCACAGATTGACCCCAGTCAAATTTGTATTTCTTAAATTCTGCTTGTTTCTTATTGAACCAAGTTTGAGTGTTTGTCAACTGAAAGTTTCTAGATACAAATACAGGATTTTAATATTCCGTTTGTAGCTAAACTTTGATCTGCAGTGTCGCCAATCTGAAAAGGGAATTTTAAGAGGTTTTCTGATGGGAGGCCCACAAATTTATTTCCTCTTTTCTTATATTAGATGTTTTATGAATGAAGACTCTCTGGGTTGAACAGGGCAGACCAGGTTCTGATTCTGAACTTGATGAAAGCATTCAGCATCTGAAATATGTTGTAAGTTTGTCTTCTGTTATTGTTTTGTTGCCTGCTAGCCTGAAATCAGAAGAAAAGTCATTAAAAGATTGAATTTGAGGGCACAAACACGTAATTCAGTGGCACACTAATTCAAAATAGGAAACCTTTAAAAAAAATTTTTATGTTTTTTTTTTTTGCAGACAACTGTTGCACAACCCTCCATGGAGACATCATGTTTCCTTGTTTCAGTAACAGCTATTTTGAGAAGAACATGATTCATTTGGAGGTGATCTGGACCTTGATTCCATGAAGCAGTGTTACAGCCTCCTCTGCAGTGGTGAGTGGGACTTTGATGCCCCTAATGGCATCATGAGCATCCGTAATAACTGGTCCTTTAGAAGAGGGCGGGGCTCATTGACCTGAATGACAATGAGTGTTTCAGTGATCCTTTTCAGCCAGGTGAGTGTTCAGGTGAAGAGGGGCTTTTGGTACAATGAGGGTGAAGCAGAGGGAATGGAGCTGAGACTGGATGATGATGGTGATGATGATGGTGCTTGGTGAGTGAGCTGTTAATGAGACATCAGCTGATCTCTTTAGTGATGGAAGTAGGATCAGAGTATTTGCAGCTGCTCCCTCACAGATAACTTACATGTCCAACATATAGGAGGAGATGTAAACTATATTCTCCTTTCTAGTTTTTTTTTTTAATTATTTGAAGCTTTTGCAGAAGACAAATGCATGTTTTTGCTGACTTTCTCTTCAAACAATATGAGCTGTAAGTTTAGCCATTCGCTAATAAGTTATATGTGAATGAAAAGGCCTGCACTTTTCACAGTTACACACTGAGAAGTTGCATAAATCAGATTTTAGTTTGGTAATTCAAGTCTCCTTTTGTTAGAGATAAAATTCAAGGACTGAGCTGTAGTGTGATGCACATGCAAAAAGTGGTTAAATTCAATCTATTATACTTTATTTTATGCTTTGCTGTGAAGACACAATCCATATGCATCTATCTATCTATCTATCTATCTATCTATCTATCTATCTATCTATCTATCTATCTATCTATCTATCTATCTATCTATCTATCTATCTATCTATCTATCTATCTATCTATTCATTAGTCAATCAATTGAGTGGGGGAAAGGGCAAAACACGCAGCTTCTAAATGTAGGATGCTTCAGTTTCATATCTATTTTTATTCCTATTTTATTTTATATTCTTTATAAACTGAGCTATGCTAACATAGAGCATATGGCATCTTTGCACAGCTTGTGCCTGAACCCTTGCAAACACAAAGTGGCTGTTTTGAATACATAAAAGGAAGGTTTGAGGGTTTGAAATACAAGTTTGTATTGTTGAAAGTGTATGTTTTGTTCAGCATTACTTGCATTGCTGCAGGGCAAAGAGAGCTCAGATCCTCCCAGTGGAAATAAAGGATGAATTATACAATTTACAGGCAAATGTATTTCAGCTATTTATGGGCCTGGACTACATGACATGGTTCATATATTGCTTCCTAAAATTTTCGCTGTGCTCCTGCAACATGCCTTCTGCATCATACTGTCATGAGAGTCTGGGTGAATCACAGCAGCATGTTTTACTGTATAACTCAGAATGTATCATCAGTTAAAGAGACGAAGGGTTGGGATTAGCTAAGAAGCTGATTTTCAGTTAAAGTCTTTTGGACTATTATTTCTTGCCAATTGTTTTATTGATGTTTGAATAAATGTCTAAAAATTTATGAAGCTCTTATTTTCCCTCAACGCTTTTGGACTTTTCTGAGCTCAACGTTTAAGTTTCACAAAGAAAAGACTGTAAATTGGACTTTAAAAAGGACAGACCTGTATTTACTTTCTTCTAATACTCAATCCCCTTACCTTTTTTTAGCTCTCCTGTAGATTTACATTCTGACCCTCTTTGCACTCTTGGCTTTAGACCCGATTATAAAACAGCATCAAGTGAAGTAATATAGTAAAATAAGAAGTTAAATAGAGCAAGAACAGCAATATAACTCACTCACAGTGTCATGAAAGATGACAATTGTTATCCCAGATGCCGTAAAATATTCATCAGTCATGCACTTTACAGTAAGCCTGCTCTCTCAATCTGTACACAGCACGTTAAACCGCTATTTTACGTACTACCCTTTACCCTTTGTTGCATTGTTCTTATTGGGAACATTTTGTGTTTTTAAGCATGGTAATTGTTTTAAAATATGCCTCCTTGTTACCTTGTATTCTATGGCATTTATTTGCATTTAGAACCGAAGAAAATTTTCTGTAGATAGAAGACAATAAGTCACCTTTAATTCCTCTTAGCTTAAATACAGCACATTTGGCTGCCCTGCGAGTTAATTTTTGCTGTATAGTTTTGCTGATTTTATACATACAGTAAATGTGGCCGCACATCACTACGATTTTATCAATTTCCACCGCAAACTTGGATTTAAAATCTCAATTATAGAAGTAACTGCCTTTTCTAACCATTGCCTCTGTTCCAGATGAACAGTAACATAGCGCTAACAGTAAAATATTTCATTATGATAGATTTTGAACACACCTAGCAGCAGATTTAGAAAAACAAGAGTGTTATTTTGGGGGTTAAAGCAGCAATACTGAGGCAATTTCTTGGGCACTATTGCCCATCAGAGTAACCCAAAAAAACTGCCTAGTGTATCACCACCCTACATCAAAATAAGAAGTTCAAAATCTTAAAAGCAGCTGCACATGATTGAACCTTTGAAATTACCAACCATTTAACTAGATATCACAGCAGAATACAAACACTTCAAATCCAGAATCTAAGGCGTAAAAAAGTCTTTATTCAAAAATAACAAAAACAAGTTATTCAGATGCAAACAGATGTTTAATACAAACACAGTAAAGCTGAAGTCCTCCCAGTCTACACACACACAATGATCACAGGCAGTTATGATGAAACTGTAGCTACGGTATGTCACAAAAGTACAACACAGTGACAAAAAAACTACCTGCTGTCTTGCTTTTGCAGTCTTCCCTTTCACAATGAGTCAATGGCAGGCTGGAGACAGGTGCGTATGTGCGCTCATGTGTGTCTCTGTGTGTGTGTGCTTTGAGGTCAGCCGTCATGTGGAGAGGTGCTGATGAAATGCTTGTCTGCCTGGTGGAATACCTCTGCAGCCCCATTTTCCCATGCCCTATGCCTCTTTAAAGTTACATCTGAAAGAGGTATATGCATAGGAAAAAGGAACAGCGAGTGCAAAGAGCCGTGCAGCTCGTCGCCGCGTGAGGGAGAGAGCCTGCAGGGTGAAAAAAGTGGGTCAGTTACATGTCTGCGAGTACCACAGAGGAAATAACACACATATTCTCTCACTGTCTGACATCTAGAGGCAGCAGGGTTTGGTTGGTGAATATAAAACAAGATGCATGCTCTGTCTTCACGAGCGCAGGCAAATGTTTGGGCTGAATCTTTCTAGCTTCCATCAATCTCTCCAAATGAAGTCTATAAAGCAAACGAGGTGTGAAGAGAACTTACCCTGCAGAGCTCCAGATGAGTCTCCCCTGGGAATGCACCTCCTCTCACACATTTATCCCTCCACAGGGACCTTGAAGATGTTTGAGAAAGACAAAGTAGCTGTTGTGTGCGCTCGCTCAGCACTACTCCTCCCTCTTTGGTTTCCAGCCATGGTGACACACCTGTGGACACCACGGATGCCTCTGGCGTGAAGAAAAACAAAAACTTTCCCTACGATCCACAGATAGGCATAGCTGGGATGCCTGTGCAGAGTTCATCGTGTGTTAACAGTGAACTTGTTGCAGTTATTATCTCCATCTGGCCCCTGCTGCAGACGTCAGAGGCAGAGCTTGAAGAGGGGAAATGTTCAGGACGGGCCGTTCCTGCTGCTAGAGAGGTTTCTTATCAGTTCAGGGTTTTTTCTTTTTCCTTTTTTTTTTCTCTTTTGCGCCATCCAAGAAGAGTGTCCCACTGTGCTTTTTAACACTCATGGTCTCCACACAAGGACTCTCAGAGTGTGCTGGAGCAACACACGCGTTCACGCTCACACATGCAGAAAAACACATGCACACACAAAAGGCCACGCAGTAGAGGGAAGAGGGAGTGTTGTGGCATGTCAAGGCCAGGCCAACCAGCACAAGATGAAACCCTCTGTCTTTTGACTCTGAGTTTGCAGCAACAACAACTGCAGACAGAGATCACAGAGTTTAATAAAGACAGATTTATATCAGATGATTATTTCAGTCCAGCTGAGGTCATCTCACTGCACACTGCAGCTGCATATGTCTGATAGTGTGAATGAGGGGCACCTCCAGGGGAGTCGTATTATCTTTATCTGACTTCTGACTTTTAATTAATGCACACATTTTGGTACCAAATAGAAGAGGGCATTTTCCCTTCTTGAAAATAATGAGGGTTTCAACCTGGTGAGACATTTGGGTAGAGCTACAAATGAGATCAAATATTGACAAAAAGATCCAATTCTGTAGGAGGAGAACACTGAGTTCTTTCTGCAATCAAGAGTATGGTTTCTGTCGCTTCAGAGTTTATTTATGTCCTTGTAAATCTAAAGATAGGTGTAAAACCTTGGATTGAGCCCTGTGTATGTCATACTGATTATTTGCAAAACCAAATGCCTGTTTTGCTGGAGGTTGGTCTGACGCAGCCAAGCTCAAGGCCCGTCAGGCTGCTGTTTGGAGCTGCTTGTCTTCAAGACTTTCTGCAGACCAGGGCAAGCGTCTTTTAATCCTTGTCAATCATTGTTGCTTTTTTATTCACTTTGACATAGATGTTAGCGTAGAAAACATCACAGTTTAATTTGATTCCCTTTTAAGTTTTCATTTTGATGTGACCTGACCTCACTGAAGGGACTCAGCACGATGGTAGCAGACATCTGGGGAGCCTTGCTTTTTGGATGCTTTTGGAACTTAGCCAGCTCTTGTAAGCCAAAATATTTCCATGAAGGGTCATTTTTGAGCCAAAAGAGCAGAAAACTGAGATGTGCCTGCATGGGAACTTCACTCCCTGATAACGTTTCCTCTAATTATCCCTTCTATTAGCGTAGACATTAAAATATGTCATAATCAGACACTATACAGGAATTTCTTGAGAATTTTTGAAGGACCAATTCCTCCCCTAATCACCTGTCTCTTAAAAAATGATGGTGGAAATGTTATTTGTTTTATTGATTGAGCTTTATGGTGGATTTCTTGTATGGCATGGTCCAGTACAGTACAATTATTGCAGTTTCCATTGTTAGGTAAGGTACCCAAATAACCAATCCATACCATCCTACAGTTCTGGTGCCCTTCTGTTAGGTACCAAGTGATCCTAAACTACAATGACTGATGACCGATTGTTGTTATTATTATTATTATTATTATTATTATTATTATTATTATTATTATTATTATTATTATTATTATTATTATTATTATTATTATTATTATTATTATCAAAGTTGATGAAAAAGGAATGAGACCCCACCATCTCTGGATATATCGAAGACCCCAGAAGCAGATTTATATTGTATTTTATAAAACACTGTTTATCTACAGTGCTCAGCATAAATGAGTACACTCCTTCAGAGTTGTTCCTGTCAAAATCACCATTTTCTATGTAAGACTGTACCACAATATACTCCCCCAAATGTAGGCCATCGATTGCAAAAAAGGTTTTTTTTAAGTTGCATACAAAAAAGTATATATTTTATTCAATTTAAAATCAGGATGCAAAAATGAGTACACCTCAATCAAAGTTCAGGGAGCAATGCTAAATTTTAGTTACCATATCTCCCTTAGTTTCATCTTATGGTAAATAAAATGTTATGTTAAACTCAGCTTTGTCAAAACTTTGGAAATTGTACTCATCTAGATATTGAGTGATACATTACTTTTAATAGGGGGTGTACTGACTTATGCTGAGCACTGTATAGATGTATGCTTATGCCAAGAAACTATAACAATATCGAGACCCCTTAGAATGGTTTTATAATTGAAAGTTGCACATATATGCATAATAAGGTGAGCTGGGGAATATTCAAGAGTTTAAGGGCAATTATATCACAAGGGTTATGTGTCCCCTGGGATTAAAATGCTGCAGTTATGGAAATTCAGATTGAAATGATTTAAAACTGGCATTCCCTCTGCTCATTTCATAGTGAGTTTGCAGAAAAGCCTTAACCCTGCCAGAGAGAAAATGTAGGGAACAAGTAAAAGACACATTTGTATGTAAAAAGATGCTGTCTGGCTGAGCGGGAAGAATGAGGATATTTAGAAACAATGGGACAGCATTAGATGTTATTCTTTCTAAATGGAGGAATGTGACCTTTACAAGGATCAGATGGACTCTGTGTGACTGTTTTTGTCATGGACAGATAAAGCTAACAGCATTATTGTAGCCACTTTGCTTTCCTTTTGTTCAGACCCGTCCGTTTTTTGTCTCTACGCATTTCTTTGAAGCATTTTCATGTTAAAACAGTTGTTAAAACTTAAAATTAAAACACACACACACACAAATCAGAACTTTGCTTGATAATTGACTCGACATCAACAAGACCTTGAAAAGTTTTATTCAACTTTGAAAAAGAAAACAGTCTGAGTCTATATTTTATCAGAGCAATATAATAAAAGTCTCTGTGTTTATGAAACCGAAGCAAGACCCTGAATCACAAGTCAGATCATCTTTTCATAAAAGTCAATAAACTTTTTATTCAGGTGGAAATAGTCGATGCAAACTGTGATATGTGGGAGAAATGAAGCTATTGACTTAATAGTGGCCTTTTTTTTTTAAAGCTGACACCAAACCCTGACACATTCTGCTGTACAAAAGAGATCAAAAACAAAAAGCTGTTAAACTCGACCTCTAGAGACGTAAAGAGAAGGTCAGACTTTCATTTTTTCCTCAGTTACTTAGTATTGTGATTGTACAGTTCATATATTTCCAGGCTTTGTGCTGTAGACTTCAAGGTCTAATAATATGATCAAAGACAAGAGGACAAACCTCTTGAGGCAGAAGTACAGCAAACCACATACACATGAAGTGTAAGAAAAAAAAGACACTATTTTTAGAGCAAAAATAAAGAAATTTAAAGCCTGATTGAAATAAGTGAATGGTTTTGGTCATAATGGTTCAGGGCTCCCATGAGACCTGGTGGGCGTTCATTCTTAAGACATAAAGGTTGCAAGAATAGCAAAATAGAGACACAACTGACTTGGCAGACAGGTGAACACACTGTAGCTGTTTGCAGGAGGCTAAAGATATGCAAATTTATTAAGCATTTCTGATTTTACCTCTGAAAATTAAGGAAAGTCAATCAATCAAATTTTATTTATATAGCACCAATTCAACAGTCGTCATCCCAAGACGCTTTATAAAGAAAAAGAGCAGGTCTAGACCACGCTCATTGTTTGAAAAATTATCAAGACCCAACCTAAGATGGGACAGATTTGACCCATCTTCATTTGGGTGACGGTGGCGAGGAAAAACCCTGGGAAGGACCAGACTCATGATAGACAACCACCAGGCTGTGGAAGGAGAGAGAACGAGTAAGAGCGAGGGAGGGAGAGAGAATAGAGAACAAGGGTGAAAGTGTGTAAAACAGAAGTGGTTAGTGCAGCGGGGGACTCTAGATAGAGAGTGTTGCAGACTGCAGCTGCATGTGGGCCCGGTGTACCCTCTGATCCAGAAAGATCATGAAGTCCTGTCTTACCAATTCTAGAAAACAACACTAAAAAAAAGTCTCACTTGGTGCACATCAAATGTTTTTCTAATGGGCCTCAGCCCCTCTGAATACTGCATGACCTATGGCAGATATCAAACAATCTGTTTAATGTTAAGGCAGAATAGAGTGTAATATACACATGCTTTTCCCAGTAAAAGCAGAAGCAATAAAGAGGGATCAATCTCAACAAACTGATAGATATAGGACAGAATTGGAAGATAAGGATGAAAAAAAGCCTTCCTTGAGAATCTGCAGGGACTACATGTGTATGATTAGTGTTTGAAGGCTTTAAGACAGACATATTCTTGTATTATTGCCACATACAGACCTTTTTTCAGCCAGTCTGACAAAACCAATCAAATTCAACAAAGCTCCACTTGGTGGCAGCAGTTTCCAGCACTGACTTGCAGCAGACTGGGGTTAAACACTTTCTATTTATTGTAAATATAAAAGTAGAGATAGTTCAGTGTACAAAGAGCAAAATTACATGAGTAAAATCTTGCAGTCTGACACAGTGAGCGGCAGAAACAGTAACAGCAGTGAAGAACAAATCCAGACTGACAGTATATGAGTGATGCTGTGAGCCATGCCCCTGTGGTGAGATAAAGATTCATCAAGGTCTGATGAGCAGAGACATATTCACGCTCAGACGCTGGAGTATGAAGTAGAAATAAAGAGCTTGTGTTGACTCTTCTCAAAGCAAACACAGGAAACAGCATCTTCCCGTCTGTGCTCCTTTGGATCCAAATCTGCAAAACCAACAGCTAAAATAAACCCCATGGCAAACAAGTAAGCTCTACTGTAAATTTCCCCCTACAT